CGGGATCAAATGCTGTTTTGGCTAATCGGCACCTCCTCATAGAGATGCATTAAATCAGTGCATCTCTATGAGGAAAATTCAGCGTCTCCATGCAGAGCGTGGGGACGCTGAACGGCAGGGCTGCTTACTGTGCAGCCCTGAGCCAGGAAGCCTCTCCAGTGGCCATCTGAGGAGTGTTCTGGTGACTATAGTGTCCCTTTTAATGTTGCCAGCTTGAAAACTTTGAAAATAACTAAGTCAAAGTTGTACACCATATTAAGAGATCACAAGCTTCTTGTGACTCCTGGAATAGACATAAAACAAAAAAACTAAATCCAGAGTATTGTTTGATCTATACATTTATTTGTAGTGTAATCTGCACAGTCTAAAGCACTCACCATTGCTTAACCACTTAAGGACCACATGACGTCATGCAGTAAAAGAAATCTTTCAATACCAGAGGGTGCCCTATGTCAGCTGGTTCCACAGTTAGTGGCTCCCGACTGACAGATGAGCACTGTGCAGTGTGTGTAGAGACCTTTAAATCCATTTAAATTACATGTCTTAGCAGTAATACTTTTCCAGGACGGATCTCCCTCTCACAGTGCAATCAATGGTACAAAGAACTCAAGTCCTCTGTACTGTGTTGGCTATAAAATCCCTCAGCTGATGTCAGCAGAGCGGGTCCCTCTGAGTTGGAATATTGTTTAGGGTTATGGGTTGGATTAGGGTAAAAAGTATACATGTGGGGTATCGAGAACAGTAATAGAATTAATATAGGGGGTGCTGCAGTTGTGTGTCAAGCATGTTCTATGAATTTCCTCAAAATAAAACGTGTGGGGCAAAACAACACAAAAGATTTACCAGTAATTCGCTAAAGTAAGACTTTAAGTTGAATTTAAAGTAAATTTCAAATTTCAGGTCAAAATAGCTGAATTGGAAAAATGTTCACAGTCCGCTATGCTTTCCATTCTGCTAGAAATCAAACCCTTCTCCCCCCTCCCCAACTATTCAGATTTAATTTTGTGTTATGTATACCTATAGGATATCAAAAGAAAGCTCTGTTTGCATAAAAAAAAATGTTTATATAATATGTATGGGTGCACTTAAACCGTGTGGAATTGTGGTAGAATGAACATCAAAAAGGCCTTGGTCATAAATGTCACATCTCAAAAAAAGCGTTGGTTCTTAAGGCGTTAAATCACTTTGCGTGTCCCACTGGCTGCAATAGATTGAGATTATAATTCTCTTTGCTATCAATCCAATGAACACATCTTTGATGTTTTTATCATTAGAGATAATTCCCCACATTATATTTGTCTGTAATCTGTTTTTAATTTCCTGACTGCCGCTTGGTCAACATTTACAACATGCTGCATCTATCCTAGCTATTGTTTTTGTAGATAATATATTTTAAACTCCAATAGTCCCATGAAAAAAAAGTGAACGTATATTTTAAAAAGTGAAAATCACCCCTTTGAACTATTTTATGTTTTAAGGCTTGTAGATTCGGATATATATATGTAGGTCATTCTACTGGCTGCAGATGTTAATCAGCGAAGGTAGAGTATCTATGAGTCATTCCTCTTTTAAAGTGTTCCTGTCCCCTAAGAAAAAGGTCAAGTTATAGATCACACATTTCCACTTATAATCCTCGCCTCCCGTGCTTGCAACATAATATTTCCCAGCATGCAGCTGACCCCACTTCCTGGTTAGCTGCTTATATTGCATCTTTTTACATCATATCTGTGATATGTAATTTTGCTGTCATCTAGGAGCTTCACTAGGGAGTAGGGGTCTCAATGCTTATTTTAAAGTGCACCTCCCATCCATATACATTCATGTCTATACATTTGAGCTAAACACTGGCAAAGCAAGTATAAAAAAAAAAAGCAGGCTGTCCAAAATTTTTTATAATTCTCTTTAATGTATTTATATACACACCCAAAAAACCATACAGATGCACCTCAAAGAAAATATTAAACATTTGCCAGAGCTATATGGGATATGAGTGAATGGATGAGTCATTGCTAAAACGATTATGAGGACAGGGTAGCCAATATCCTTATAAAAGTAATTGGCATTGTGTAGTGTTAACGTGGAGGCTGTATGGTCTGTTTCAATATGGCACCCTTTGGTTTCGTTTTAAAACTTGCATTCACTTAGTCAGGTTAGAGCAGTGGTAGTCAACCCTTTTCTATCTACCGCCCACTAATGCATCTTTCTTGATGGAAAAATTTCCTTACCGCCCAGCAGTTTTCATGCAAGTGCAAACTATTTTTTTAGAAAGGAGGGTGTTTTAAAAAATAAATAAATGTACGTACATTTATCTTTTTATTTCTACTTTATGCATGTTTTATAATGTTTTTAACGTTATAAAGTTTAATGAGAAAGCAATAAAGTAAACTGAGATTGCCTTTAACTAGTGATTAATGAGATCCTTGAGGTTGATGCTGCGAGACTAAATATTTGATATCTGGTTCGATTTTCGTAAGGAACAAACGAAGGTCTTCTCTTTCGGTGATATTCAGACGACTTCTTTGTTTGAGCATAATATGATTTCTCATCTGTGTATCAGCTCCCCTCTTCTCCCTCCTCAATTCACCTCCCCACCTTTTTTTTTTTCTTCCTTTTTTTCTATTTTTTTTAACCTTCCTAACAGTAATGCCTACTAAGAAGGCTGAGCTAGGTAGCCCACTTACTATTATTAGCCAACAACAATTCTCTCCTTTTCCTTTTCTTTCTATCTCCTTTTTTACAAGTACTCGGTGCCTTCTTTCTCCTTTTTACAAATACTCTGCTCCTTCTTTCTTCTATTCTACAAGTACTCTGCTCACAGACAAACACGCACACACAGACACACACACTCACAGACAAACACACATACATTTAATGAATACGCGCCTGTACATTCTCTTGATTTCATGACATTTTAAAGAACGATCATAATTTGATCTGAGCAAGCCAAAAAACATTGGTTTGTGTTGGTCAATTGTGGCCAAATCCCAGTAACCATGTAGCCACAACAAACTTGGTGGTGGTTATTTATTTATTTATTTATTGTATTTGTAGGAAAGCAGTAATTCTAGAATGCACATTTTTTTTTTTTACAAAATATAAATGGAACATTATGAAATTATACTTAGACGTGTCTTGAAAAGCTGTGGTTAGTGACTTAGAAAACTGAAACTGATGAAAAATTTAGGTTTTGTGTCTAGAAAGGGTTAGAGGATGAGTTAAAATATCCCATAGTTTAAATTGATGCAATTTAGATGATTAACTTTGTGCAACCCTTTCCTCAAATAACCCCGACAGGTCCGAATCTGAGAACACCACCTTAAACTGGTTTCTTTGTTTTGTGTGCTTTGCTCAGTCTCATGTTACATTTCACAGTCAAGTGACACCAAACAGGACCAGAAAACCACATGGTTAATATACTTCAAGCATGTGAAATTCGAGATCTGTAAACATGTTGCAGGTAGCATCTTCTCACTCCAATGCCCAGGAATTTCACTTGAATAATCATAGCTAATATATTGGCTAAATTTCATAAAGGGTTTTGTTTTCATTATGATTACAACCAAATGAAAGGATCTTTGGGTTGTGAGATTTTGGTTTACAGTGTGGGGGAGTCTTGCCAGTAAGGGGACCACATAGTCCAATAAAATATGGAATAAAAGGTGAAATAACTTAGGAAGTTGCTATGCTTGTAGACAGTGAGTGAAACATTTATTGAAGAATTGCATTTTGTGGGAGTGTTAAAAAGAAGAAACGGGGAAAAAAAAGGTAATCTTATATTTTTTTTAAAAATGTGTTAAAGGGACACTATAGTCACCAGAACAACTACAGCTTAATGTAGTTCTTCTGGTGAATATAGCCTGTCAGTGCAGACTTTTTAATGTTAACGCAGTGTTTATGGCCACTACAGATGCTTCCTGGGTTAGTGCTGCAGTGTGCTGGTTAATGATTTAAAGGAACACCGCATTGGTGTCAGGAACACAACAGTATTACTGACACTATAGTGCTAGGATAACTGTTTAGATCCTGGTCCCCCTTGCCTCTCTTTGAAAAAGTTAATTTTCTCCACTTTCTCGCTGGTCTCTCCTCGGTTTTCCCTGCCTCTCTCCGCCTCTGTGGCTCTGATGTCGTCAGGTTTTCTTGCACTTCCAATACATTGGGTTTCCTGGACGTGCCTGGACTGTACTGAACTGGATTGTGATGTCAGTTGCTTAACCCCTTAAGGATCAAACTTCTGGAATAAAAAGGAATCATGACATGTCAGACATGTCATGTGTCCTCAAGGGATTAAAGGAATACTATTGTGTCAGGGTACAAATGTGTGTTCCTAACACTATAGGTTTAAATAACCGTTTAGGCTTCTGGCCCCCCCCTTACCTCTGGTGAGAGGTGATTTCCACCCCCATCCGTCCACACTCCACCCTCTTGGCTGAGATCATCAATTTTGATCTCAGCCTGTCCAATGCTTTCCCATAGGAAAGCATTGGGAGTCTAGCGAGCATGTGCATCTCTATGGGGAACGTTCAGTGTCTCCATGCAGAGCGGGGAGATGCTAAATACCAGTGCCTCACACTGTGCAGCAGTGACTCAGGAGGCACCTCTAGTGGCCATCTGAAAAGGCAGTGTGTACATTAAAAAGCCTTCATGGAGGAGAGACGTGTTTTCTCTGAACCCCCTTAGAGATTAACGATCTCTCCAACCCCATACAGCTCGAACAAGGTGACAGCCAACAACCTACCGATACAGCGATCTGTGACCCAACTGGAGACTACTTGCGGCACTTTTAGCAACATGAGGCCTATTGTGTGCCGGACAGTAGAGGCAGCAGATCCCCCGGCCCGGTGCTGCATGGCAACCACTTACAATAAGTTAGAGCCCTGCCACCCGGAGGAGGCACAGGACAAATCCATGCCAACAAGCCTGCAACTCAGCTACTTACTGACTGTGGAGTGCCAACCAAGCTAGACGCTCTCTTCAACTTCTGGCGCAAACTGGAGAGCAGAATGCCTCAACCTGCCTTACAGCCATCATGCAGCCACTCACCCAGGAGGCAGCCTCCAAACCCGAGCAGGGTTGCCCTTACCCTTGCCTTGCCTGTGATGCAGGCCTCATCCTGGTGGCAGACCAAGAAGCGCAACCCAACGGAGCACAAGTTGCTGCGGACACAGAAACGGCCGGGGCTTACTGCTAGGCATCACTGGAGATATCAAGCTCTGCAAAGCAACTTGACCCTTACTCCTACTTTAACTAAAACTGTGATGCCAATCTGTATGCCATGCTGATGATTTCCATTGCTTTTTAAAAAGCTTAAAATATAATCCTGTTTACTCTCCTAATATTAAAAAAAAAAAAAAGCAAAAAAAAGCAATGTTTTTGATGCCATACTAATGTTATCATATATCTACAAATCTGTTTGCCTTTATGGACATACTATAGATACCAGAACCAGTACATTAAGCTGTAGTTATTCTACTGACTATAACGTCCCTTTAATTTCTTCCTAAAGCATATTCCACAAAGCAGAGTTTGGCATTTTATTGTTTACTATATTTATAGCGACTCCTGTTTTATGTTTTCTCCCGAACAAATGTGTTTTTTGTTTTGTTTTGTTTTTTTTACTAATGAGAATTCAAAGTACATTTCAAATTAAAGGCTCCGGTAATCAAACTGAAAGCCTAGCTGACTGAGAGAATCATTCCAGTTTTGATATTTTACCTTAAATTTGAAATTCACTTTGAATTCCTTGATTTCTCACTTCAGTGAATAACCCTGTAAGTCTTTATTGTATCTTTACAAGGTAAATTTTTTTGGGGGGGCGTTTTTTTAAATTTATTTTGTTTGGTCTTTTTTCTGCAGGTACAATATGTAAGGAATAATTACATATAGTTTCCTCACCACACTGTTCTCATTTAAATTTTTCTAGCAAAGCATGCATCATCCCATGCTGGTTCCTAAAATATTTGCTTAAAGGAACACTCCAAGCATTTAGCTTACTGACGTGCTTTAGGGTTATATTGCTAGTTGGTGCTGACCTATTTTAGAAAAGTGTCAATTTCAGAGCAAACCTTTTTATACAACACCTTTGTCCCACCTTTCTCACTGTACATATGACAATCAGGAGGGTTTCCTGCCTCACTTCATCTAAAAAATCTTAAATGCATGTTTTTTTTCCCGGGGTATATCTATTGGCTGATTTAAAAAAAAAAAAAAAAACACATTTGGTTCAGAGTGTTCCTTTTAAATATTTGAATTTCACAACTCTTTTAGATGTGCGATTTGATGTTGTGTTTACTTTTTTATTACTTTGTATTGCCCACTAGCAAATAATTTTTGACTGTACTTATTTGTACTTCCTACAATGCATGCTTGTATAGTTCTCAACTCCTTAAAGTGGCACTGTCATGCTGAACTTACCTTTTCCTAATCGCTTCCTCTTCTCTTCCTCTCTCAGGATCTGTTCTTCATTTCTTCCAGTCTGCTCTGGTTTTCTTTCATAAGTAGGAACTATTTTGTCTTCTATATATTTCCTACGGCTGACCAGCGGAGGAGCAAAGAGTGCTCTGTTTCCTGTGGTCATAACAACTTTCCCACAGTTCTCAGCTTTCCTCCGTGGTCTCGCGATGCCTCTTTTCACTTTTTCCGAATGTCCTGTCATTTAGACAGAACGCTGGCGAAACTACATAATTTTGTCCTAACAGAGAACAATTTGTTCATTCATGTTCTGACTGCAATCTGTACTTTTCCGTCGGTTCGAAATTTCATTCTGATTAATGAAATTCTGATCTGTGCTGTGGCTGCGTATTGCAGCCGCGTAGTAGATAGCTCCCTAATTCTCATGGTATCAGGGTGCTATCTACCAGAAGGCTGAAAGACCAAGATTGGTATTTCAGCCAACCTTACTAATACTAAGTAAAGATTAATTAGTATTAGTACTTAATCTGACCCTACTCGCTATATCGCGAGTAGGGGGTATGTCTAGTAAACGGTAAGCAGCCTGCCCCCACCGCGTGCCACACGGTTTTGGTCCATGCGAACAAAGATGGCGGCTCCCAGGACCTAGATCCAGGCACGAAATGAAGATTAAAAAATCTGTAATATTGCCGGTTTAGGGGCATTTGGGGGTGCCCAGGGGGAAAATTAGATGTAGTGGAGTCAGGTTTAAAAAAAACACTGTATTTGGACATGACAGTGCGGCTTTAAGATGACATTTTTGTGCATTATGCATTCAATTATTATTGGCCAGGATCCATTATAGTACGCGGATATAATTAAACAAAACAACACATTAATCTGTTAGATTTAAAGGAACACAAACATATCCCTGACCCTATAGTGTTAAAAATACGATCTAACCCCCTTACCCACCCTTGCCTCTCTTAATCTTACTTTTATTCCAGTCTTTTGTTCCAATCTGCCTTCCTGGCTGACATCATCAGAAATGATGACCTGAGACAATCCCAATGCTTTCCCATAGGAAAGCATTGGATTGGCTGAGATTGCCAAGGAGGCAGATCAGGGGCGGAGACACTGAACGTTCAGGGTCTCCATGCAGGGGGCGGAGACACTGAATGTCAGCCACACTGTGTGACACAGTGTGAGTCAGCACTGCCCCAGGAAGCACCTCTAGCAGCCTTCTGAGCAGTGGCCAGGGGAGGTATCCCTGAGGTGTAATGTAAACACTGCATTTTCTCTGAAAAGACCGTGTTTACAGCAAAAAGCCTGAAGGGAATGATTATACTCACCAAAACAAATACAATAAGCTGTATTTGTTATGGTGACTATAGTGTCCATTTAAAGGTGATTGGAAACCAAGTAAGTATTGAGCGAAAAGTTTATTCTACGATCCCAAGATGGCATAAGTTGTTAAAAAATTGACTTTAACCACAAAGTCAAGTAAAGTATAATGTGTAAACGGAAACAAATTTTAGCTTCATGCGTTAGATTTTATCAGGCCGTCAATCTTTAGCAAAATATAAACCGATTAAATTCTGAGCAAATAGGTTTAGTGCTTCTAGTACAAGTTTCACTCCAGTGTCCTACAAAACATATTTAGACAAGCTTGCTGAGCAGTATGGGACATATCTGCTCTTGTGCTTTATGGTATCCATAAAAGCAATAACTAGGCTAGTAAGTAAGAGATTCTTTGTTGGCCATATAAAGGAACATGTGCTCTTTACTGTGGTTTTTCCCCTGCTCATAAAAGTATACATGTCGCTCTCCATCACTTACTGTAAAGGAGCGTGAGCCATGTTTTGTATATACCTCCCAACATTTCAAAGGGACAATTGGATATATATTAATTTTAAGAAATTAGGGGGGCGGAGCTAACTACTGAACCGACTGGTCGCATCTTCTGAGAGCTCCGAGACTTAACGGAGAAAAAGCAAGAAAAAAACACTATTTTACCCCCTCAAAAGCAACCAAGACTGTCCTACTGCAGTGGACTACCAATGGGCAGGAAAAACAAAAAGCCAAAACAAGAACTGCCCCGGCCGGGCACCAGCATAGGGGACCTATGGCGGCGAGCACATGGTGCATCGGAACCCAATATGGACGCCTACCTCGACGACTTCGACGACTCCGATGAACGACTCTCAGAACTCGAAGTCCCACACTTACCTGTAACACAGGAGGCAGTGCAACCAAGCAAGCAGCCGGACACGGCCCCGGTCACAAAGGCCGAAATGAGGGAGCTGCTGGCGGAGCTCCACCGGAATATCCAAGCGGATGTAGCCGACATGAGGAAAGACATACAGGGTCTAACAAACCGCATAGTGTGCGTGGAACAAGACTCCCTTAACCACTCGAGGACTGTAGCCAGGCTCCAGCAGGAGGTAAACACGCTGCAACAACAGCACCTGAGAGTGGAACTTACACTGGCGGTACTGGAAGACTCGCGCAGGGCCCAAAATGTAAAGATTCGAGGCATAGCGGAGTCGGTCCCAGATTCAGAACTCCCTCACTTCATGAGGCGCCTAGTGGGTAACATACTCCAGCCGAAGCAAGCTAAAGGGGTAGGCCTGGATGGCATATTCAGAATCCCCAAACCGCCAACGGCTCCTCCGGCGGCACCCAGGGACGTAATTGTTAAATTTCAAAAGCGGCAGGACAAAACAGCGGTTATGACCGCCATTAGGGGAAACACACCATACCCCTTCGAGGACATGGCCCTCTCTCTATATGCAGATTTATCCAGAGGAACTATGGCCTGGCGCTCAACTATGAGACCCTTCACTACCCTACTCCGCGCCCGTAATATTAAATATCAATGGCGCTCACCACACAAGCTCCAAGTGTTGCAGGGAGACAACACATACCTTATAACGGACCTGCAGGAGGCGAAGACACAACTCGCTACCTTGGGCCTCCCACCAGACGCTCTGCAGCTACCAAACAACCCCTCCAGACCACATGTATGGAACCCTGCTAACTCTGAGACTTTCGTTCCCAGGCGTTCACGGCCAGTGGCCCGACCTGAGTGCACTTAACGGCCTGACTGAGCCGCACCACGCACACTATTGTGGGACTTATGTGAATTTGGTTTAAATAATCGGTTATATTTTTGCCTACACTGTTAGCCCACACTCTAGCCGCGGACACCCCGCATTATTTTGCACCCCTTCACCCTACTCAGTTGGTAACCTTAAGTTGAGTTGCAACCTGATTGAGCACAAGCCCTAGCGGGCTGGTTGGGTCCGTTACCAGAAAACACCTCATCTGACCCAGCACTTACACGGTCCCCCTGGCAAATTCAACCTTACTTGGCCCATTAAAAGCCATACCACAGGGGCCGATATGCCCACGGCATGTATTTGTTTTACTCTGCTCAGTTTTGTTTATGTTTTAAAAAAAATTTTTGCGCCATGTTAACGATTGTACTTCAATCTTAATATTACACGGTGATGTTTCTAATGGGGCGGAAAGGTTTAGACAAGGGAGCGATGACATGTGACGTAACAATTGGTACCGACCCTAAGCTATTGTTTTTTCTCATTTACGCAGTTCATTGTGACAGGAGTTACAGCATGTACCTAGCTTGAACAGTTACCTAACAAAGCGCGTTAACACTGCATGCCCAATAAAGCAACTGTCTTAGCACTTACTAAACCCTGACGTTTGACCTAATCTGCGCAGGAACAACTCTGACTTGAGGCTGGTATACAGGACAATATAGCTACCACTACCCTATAGTATGAACAATGTATAGAGCCCTGATGCGTTACTGAACCGAGCCCTATGTATAGCACACTATCTGAAGCCAATAACATACCCAATGGGTGGGAATGTAATGTATTAGAGCATTAACCTATCGCTACCTACTAGCTCCCCTTAAAAATTTGTGCTGGTTTACAAATGCCATAATGTTGTTTTTCTCTACTGTTATTATTGTACTTGCCCATGCTGTCGTGGCAGTGCAAGTCCTTTTGTTATAACATGCACAACAAAAATAAAGAATTAAAAAAAAAAAAAATTTTAAGAAATTATAGGTGACTTACTAATAACAAGTTATACATAGGAGAGGAACAATGTATTTTTTTTTTTTTATCATATACAGACTGATTTCTAAACACATTCAGTGTACCGTGAGTATTATTGCTATGACACTTTTTATTCTAATATGGAGTTCCTAGAAAAGAGACAGGAAGATTTGGTCCAAAGTAGGGACTGTCCCTTCTAAACAGGGGCATGCAGTAACTCTATTTGTGTAAATGTACTGGTTGTAATCACGTAATCGTGAGCAATAGAAAAAGCTCCCATTCATACTAATGGTGAAATGCCTGTATTGCACAGTAATGAGAATATCACAGTATGTGCATTAGAGCCTCTCTGACAATTGTTAATTTTACAGTGCAGTCTATGTTCTTCTACACATGTATTTTATTACATGTAGTGTTTGGAATGGCCCTTTCGTTTCCTTCACAGGACTTTGTCTATTAGCATGACATTTAATTAACATGATTTGTAATAACAGGACAATTCACCATTATAATAATTTGACTGATAAGCACATGACAGCCTCCTAGCTTTTGAAAAACCGAACACAAGCCAAATAAGACTCCATTAACAGAGGTTTGATGAGGGATTGTGATAGTCAAAAAGATATACATAAAAAGAGAAAAGATACTAGAAATTGGCACAAAAATATTCAGAGCCATATTTGATTCCGTTTAGCCAACACTTAGTCACTGAAAATGTCATGCCAGCATGGATTGTACCCCATCTTAATTATCCCACAGGGGATACCTTCCAAAGTTTTTACTTTTTGTCTCCTGTTACATACATGAGAAGGAATCTATATAGGTTCAGTAACATCTAGAAGTGCACAGTTTTGTATTCCTGGCACTATAGTATCCCTTTAACATTTGTTTGACTATATACGGAAGATGGCATCTTTTAAATAAGTTTAATTTACCACCTTGCAAAGTCGGGCTCTTTCAATTGTATTGTTCATAACATTATTTAATGTTTGAGGCTCTAGCACTCAGATTTCTTCAGATAGTCTCCTTAAAGGACAACTCTAGGCACCCAGACCACTTCAGCTTAATGAAGTGGTCTGGGTGCCAGGTCCAGCTAGGGTTAACCCATTGTTTTATAAACATAGCAGTTTCAGAGAAACTGCTATGTTTATCAATGGGTTAAGCCTTCCCCCAAAGCCTCTAGTGAAAATCACAGTGAGAGCACGCAAGCGTCCATAGGAAAGCATTATGAATGCTTTCCTATGCGACCGGCTGAATGCGCGCGCAGCTCTTGCCGCGCGTGCGAATTCAGCCGACTGGGAGGAACGGAGGAGAGGAGGAGGAGATCTCCCCGCCCAACGCTGGAAAAAGGTAAGTTTTAACCCTTTTCCCCTTTCCAGAGCCGGGCGGGAGGGGATCCCTGAGGGTGGGGGCACCCTCAAGGCACTGTAGTGCCAGAAAAACGAGTATGTTTTCCAGGGACTATAGTGGTCCTTTAAGCAGCTCCAGCTAGCGGTTTGTTCACGTACATCCTTCAGATATCCCCTCAGGAACTTATTGAGAGCTGAAAGGTCGGGCGAATGTGGCACCTTATTAATCTAGGAATTTCTTGAAATTATCCGTTCACCAAACAGTTGTCTTAGGAGGTCCGTTGTGGCCCTGGCTGTATGGGCAGTAGTCCCTTGCTGTTGAAACCACATTTCAGGGCAGTTTTTCCTCCACTCCAGGACATAAAAAATGTCATTCATATCCCAATATCTCACACCAGTAACTCCCAAGATTTTGTTATAATATATACCTGCAACAAAAAAGCAAGTTTCAATGTGTAAAAACTGAAATGGGCAAAGTCTATATTTGACCCTGTAACTTTTCAAAACACCATGAAACCTGTACATAGTGCCATCGTTGTACTAATGGGACATCACAGCATACAAATATGTGTAGATTATTGCAGTAAAAGCTAACAGTATTATGACATTTACAGTTAAAATACCATGCAGAGCCTGATAAATAACATTTAATTACTCTCACCGTTTTAGATTTTATTCATATTAAATTATGTTGATGTGGAATGGAAGCCCTATTTCTCCTGAACAAGATGTATAATAAGTGTGGGTACACTCAATGGGAAAGAGGTAAATTATGGTTGAACAGACATATTGCTTAAATTCCAGGTTTTGTTTTGGTTCAGAACTAGTATAACGACCTCCGTCCTTATGGGTTAAAATAGGATGCATTTTTTTTGCACAGACTGCGTTCTAAACACAGACTTAATTTCCAGTCCTTTTTACTCTTTTTATACCTGGTTTCTTACAAATGATTCATGGTTGAGTTAAAGCGAATACATGTTTAGCAAGACAATTTCTCTATGTGGTAAAGGGAAACTCTCAAGTACCACAAACGCCTTATACGTCTTGAGTAGGTTACAGTTCAGTGAGTTTCCCTATCTCGTTTCATTCTGTGTAATCGTGCTAGTAAGATAGGACTGTCAAAATCGGTGATGTCAGAGAGTGAAGCTTGGCTTTCCCCTGAGTTGTAAAAATACCTCAGATTTTTATAGTGTTTTAATTTCGTTCTATAAAACAGCTTGTGCAGCAGTTGTGCACTTCGGTGGCCTTGTACATGTCCTTTTATTTCATGAAAGAATATGCACCAGGCTACATTGTAATTTAATTGGAGTTGCTTGTTGTCTACTACTAAAGAAACACTCCATTTGCCCTCCATTTTATTTTTTACCTGGAACTATAGTGATCCTTTAAATCCTTATTTAGTAGATATACCCTAATGAAAACGTATTTAATTATGGGTAAATGTAATATCAGGTTGCAATAGCTGCAGATGTCTTGTCTGCAGCTTTTGCAAGCTCTCCCCTATCACCCCAGCACAGAGTAAGAGTTGAGAAGCATCTCTGCTGGACCCGTTTGCGCATTCACAAGATAACTGCTTTCCAGTGTCTCTCAATGTTCTGGGAAACTGGAAAAAAAAAACACACCCTGTCTATATGACAGTCGCAGAGGGATTTTTATAGAAATTTCAGAAACTGTTAAAAATGTGACAGGCTTCAGACACAAAGCATTTCAGCAACCCAAAGTGATTTGTTTGTGGACTGTTCCTTTTAAGTTGTTGAGTAAATAAATACACATGCCAGCTACACACTATTCAGTTTTCCATTGAAAACTGACAATTGATTTAAATCTATAATCCCCTAGTTGCAGATATTCCACTTACCTTTCTCTAGCACTGGACCCCCTCAGCACTGCTGATTACTCCGCCTCCCATGATGTCATCTGTCTCACGAGCAGATAGCCAATCCATAGAAGTGCATTGGAAACAGATTAACATGCAAATACTTATCATAGGAGAAGATTAAACTCACTGCTTTTGGATGAGCTGCAATCTCATGTGACAGAGTTTTACTCTGTCGTTGTAGAGGAAGCGGCTCGAGTGGCTGTCTGGAAGACACTATTTTACATTGCAGGGTCAAGAGGATCGCACCAGGTACTCAAACCACTTTATTGAGATGAAGTAGTTTGGGTGACTTTAGTGGTCCTTTAATATCACTATGCAAACATTTTTTGATATTCAGAGAATCAAGGTAGGCTAAGAAAAGTGAGCCACATCATGATTTCCAAAAATACTCTGCATTTGCAGCACGTGAGGGACATTTAGAAGTATTTCTTTTGATTGGTAATAAATATATTGTCAACTCCATTCATGAATGTCCTTTTAACACTATACATCATTATATTGCTTCTGTTCTGTTCTTTTAATAACCATACCCCAAACTTTTTTGTAAAGTCTATATTCTTTTTTTTTTTTTTTATGTAACTTAATTGGCTGCAGATTCATCCACTTGGTTATAAAGATTTTACAGCTGTCATAGAGTAGCGTTTATTCTGGTATTATCGTTCACTATGGTATGTCTCCACCCAGAATCCCCTGGATTTTATGCAAGCTGTAGTGACGTGTTCAAAAGTAAATATTCTCCTGTACTTTTGGTAACTAATGTGAAGTTACAACTTTTACGTGATTATTTTTTGTTTGGAAAGTTCTGATTTACAACCATTCTTTTTATTTTTTTTATTTTTTTTATTTCTGTTTGTTCTCATTTGCTTCTGATCGTATACTAATTTGGGCTTTTATTTCTTGGCTCTTAGATGAGTTAACCTGAAGGGCAACCTCACCTGTAGGATACTGCAGTGACCTGTCATAAACCAGGATGTTATTCAGCCAAAAACACTCAATTAAAATTTTTTGTATAAATGCATAGCTCATAAGAAGAGCTTTAACCCCTTAAGGACACGTCATGTGTGACATGTCATGATTCCCTTTTATTCCAGAAGTTTGGTCCTTAAGGTGTTAAAGATAGACTCCATTGATTATTTTTTTTCCTCAAACTATTTTAGTAAATGTACCCCAAAGATAATATGCAAGTAGTCTTTGTAAGCCCACCCTTCTTTCCATTGCTCTGAGTGCGGTGGAAAATGCAGCAATCGGAGGCTTTTCAATGAGTGGGGAAGGCAGGTGTGATCTATGCTTCTGTTTCTACAGAGTTAAATGTGCATTAGACCCCTCCATAAGAAAGCATTGAATCAATGCTTTCCTATGGGGAAATAGCTAATGCTGGATGTCCTCGTGCCGTGAGTGAGGACGTCTAGCATCCGTTAGGGGACCAAAAGTCTGGTAACATTCCGGGAGCGCTTCTAGTGGCTATCTTTGTGCTGCAATGTAAACATTGTAGTTTCTCAGAATCGGCAATGTTTTACATTGCAGCACTAAGTGCAATAGGGACATTGCACCAACACTACTTCAATGAGCTGAAGTGGTCTGTGTGCCTAAAGTGTCACTTTTAATAAAAAAGCAAACTCATCACAAAAGTGACTTTTTAATCTATGAGAACTTAGTCGTGTGATTTTGTGTTCTATACATTCTGTAGGTGATACAGGGTAGTGATTGTTCACTATGGCACTTTCAGTCTGACTATCAATAGAAATTAATATTGAAAACAAGTACTGCTTCAATATCTGCAATAAGGATCATAAAACTGTATTACTAGGGAATAGAGCATCCTTAGAAATGTACTTAATTAATATAATAAAGTTTCCCCTATTTTTTTTTTTCAGTGTGCTTATTTCGTGTCCAGATGGGTTTTCATGAGCCGAACTACACGCTAGTGACATCACACACAAGGTAAGCAAGCCCTACAATTTTGCCTAATTCCTGGCTTTTCAGAACATGGCCTCACCTTCTTAGCTTCTGCAGTAAACCCTTCTCTGTTTGGGGTTAGTGATACTAGCATAGTGGAGGAAATATGATATAAATCTCTGGAGAACGAAGGGTGTGACTATAAAAGAAGAAACCGGTTTAGAAGACTTTTTTTATTGACCCATTAGAATTCATTTAGTGGTTTTGTTAGCAGAGAACATACTGCAGTTTTACTCTGCAGTGCAGTGGAAATGTCCCTATCACGGGAATGTTGGGTTGAATAGTGCGTTTGTATGTACGAAATCGTGATTTTGATATGGATCACTCCATTTTTAGGAATCCTGACAACATTTACGTTCTACTTTAATTTTTTGCTGGTTTGTTTTCGAAGAAGTTGAGTAAAATAATGTTTCTTTTAGCTTTGAGTGATTTTCTTGTTATTTCCAGATTTTACAGCATATGCAACTGCAGCTCCTTAAAGGGGAACTGCCATCCTCAGAATTCTTTTTAAATACAATCTTAAAGGGAAACTCCGCTATCCACATAATAAATATATCAAAATCTGTTATATATATATATATATATATACACACACACACACATTTTTTTATTGTAATAAATATTCCCTTTTCCACACCATCCCATTGGATCCTGAAAATAATTCCAGAGTAGGGGGCAGTGTCACCCCAAAATAATTGACACCAAGCTGGTATACTTAGAGCCAGTTATCAAAAGGCTCTAGAAAAGGTGAGCACTTTGAATTTTATATTCTATAAACACAACTATTATTGGAGATACTACACTTAGTTTGATACATTTGTGTCTTCTATATATGCTGTGGAGAGGAATATACCATTGCCTGGAGAAAGGGGTCGTGTAGTCTACCTAAAAAGACACAAGACGCTTGGAAGTTTAGAGCCTAGAAACTAGAAAAGGCTCTAGAAAATGTGAGTTTAGACACATCTGTCACTTACATACAATTCTTTCAAAAAATTTTTTTTAATATGCTGCACTATTATCTGTATATATTTTCTCTTCTCGTTTTATATATACATAATTCCTTGAGATTATTGTAGAGGGTAAGTGTGTTTTTTTTTTTTTTTTTTTAAATATTGGAAAACACAATTTCACCTCACATTATTATATAGCGCTGCACTCTTTAAAAACCTAAGGAGCCAAAAGGTGGAAACACCAGCAAGGTCCCAAGTTTTTTCTGTGTTTTTTTTGGTAATTATGCCCTATATTTAACAAATATTTGTTTGTTAGGTCTAAAAATTAAAGTGAAATTGAGAAATCCGTATAGTTCTTTCATGGTACCAAGCACCCTCATCTTGGTTCCTGATCAATTATTTTACATACTCTACCCTTTGCCTCTGTCGGTCAACATAGAGAGTGGTGAAGAAACTATTTGTTTCTCCCTCTGCTCCTCCCATGCCATATATGCCCTGTTGTGCTTGGACTGATCTTGATTGTGAAGTTGATTTCTAAATCTTAATTATAAATTTAAAAGAAAAGAAAGCATCAAATGAAAAAGTTAACACAAGTATCAATGTTTTATCGAATGGTGTAAGTTTCACAGAAGTGGCAGTTCCCACTTTACTCTAGGTACTTTAACCACTACAGCTAACTGGCACACCGTTTTCTGTCAAAGTGTGCTGGTTTAACAAAAGTCCTAAAGTTTAAAAAGTTTAACAAAAAGGCACTCACTGATATCTTTATCTCTAGTGTGAACCCCCTCTTCAGCTACACAGTCAATTATTAAGCTACATTTCCATATTCTCAAGTGCGATTTTAATCAAACAAGAACATAGGCTGAGAGCATTGGAATAACCCCATTTAAATTAAACCGTTGTCAGGCTTGTGTCAGGGTTCTTTGCTGCCGCTCACTAAGGAGGCAATGTGCCAGGGGGGTCAACGACTCTGATCTGGACAGGCAGGATCATATACCTTGTGAGGAGTCCAAGGAATCATGGTAGGGGAGCCTCACTGCATCCTGGGCAGTATACATACTGGGGAGGTGTGGGGGAGTCCAGCAGTCTCTCAGAGGCAGTGCTCGAACCTGTACCTGGATTGGTGCATTTTCATTGTTCTGTGCTTTTAGTGTTTTAGTCTGTATTTCTGTATATGATTTCTATTATAACCCTTGATGTATGTACCCTGACTGTGTTTCAAGGATATGCCTTTCTGTTTATACACTTGGAAGATCTTTGCATTTTTTTATCTGACCTTGGAATGGACTTTGATATTGCCTTCAGGATTCTCCCATCTATCCCATTGTCCGCATCGAAAGGTTCCATCTTACCCAAGTGATAAACTGTATATTTGTAATGTATTTTCATAAATTTGTATTCTACAGGGCTAGGGAATATATATGAGCCTATATTATTTAATGATGATTCATGTAAAATTGTCACAAATAAGTCTGGTGCTTATTTACTTATATTTCTTTTCAGATTACAGTTTGAGCAACCTTGGATTTGGAAATCCTAAAGTTTGCCATAGGGAATACCCCAACGGGGGGAAAAAAATAATTATTTTGTCCTGACCGCACCGTAGGAGGATATATTGCAACATCCAACATGACGTCTGAACTGGAGAGTAGCCTTACATCTATGGACTGGCTTTCGGGGATTGCAATAAGAGCAGGCAATCAGAATTCCGATTCTGCCCAGCGCAGTCATGCAACCGGAATTACCAAGAAAAGTACAATTCTTGATCCCAATACAACGTTGGACCAGGACGATGTACAACAACACAAAGATGGCAAACCTCCATATAGTTATGCTAGTCTCATTACTTTTGCAATCAATAGTTCGCCAAAAAAGAAAATGACTCTTAGTGAGATTTACCAGTGGATTTGTGATAATTTTCCATATTACAAGGAGGCCGGCAGTGGCTGGAAGGTAAGGTGTTTGTTTGTTTGTTTTTTCTTTCCTCTAATTCTTCTTTAAAAACGGTGTTGGTATATCAAATTACATAAAGTTAAAGTTGCACTATAGTCACCAAAACAACATTAGCTTAATGAAGCATGCTTTGCTGTATAGATCATGCCCCTGCAGTCTCGCTGCTCAGTTCTCTGCCATTTAAGAAGTAAATCACTTTGTTTTTTACAGCTCTAGTCACACCTTTGTCCATGTGACATTCACTGCCTTCCAAAAGTGAGATCAAATGTTTACGCTTCCTTTATTGCACAGTCTGTTTAATTTAGTATTTCTTATCTCCTGTTCTGTTAATAGCTAAACCTTGCAGGAGCCTCCCGCGGTTGATTAAAGGGACACTATAGTCACCAGAAAAACAACAGCTTAATGTAGTGGTTCTTGTGTCTTTAGCGTGTCGCTGCAGGCTTTTTAATGTAAACACTGCCTTTTCCAAGAAAAAAGCAGTGTTTACATTAGTGCCTAGTAACACCCCTAGTGGCAGTTGCTGAGATGGCCATTAGAGGTGCTTCCTGTGTCCACGCTCTGCATGGAGATGCTGAACGTTCCCCATAGCGATGCATTGATTCAATGCACCTCTATGAGGAGATGCTGACTGACGCAATGCTTTGCATGTGCAATATCTTCCCAATGGATTGGATTGGATTGGCTAAACTTATCAAGTGTGATGATCTCAGCCACGGGAGAAAACTTGAGAAATTTTTTCAAAGGGAAGCAAAGGGGGGCCGGTGACTTAAACATTAGTTTTACCAGCATGGTGCCAGGAATACATGTGTTCCTGACACTAAAGTGTTCCTTTAAAGTTAAATTTACCTAGCAGGAGATGAAAATTGAATCCACGTTAACATCTGATTTAACTATATAAAAAAAATAAAAATTCTGGAGGCTCTGAGTCAGCCAGTGGAGGTATGGCTAGGGCTGCGTAAACCAAAACAAAATAATTTTAACTCCTAAATGGAATAATTTAGTAGTGAGACATTGAGGTGTTCGCTATACACTAAAACTACTTCATTAAGCTAAAGTTGTTTTGATGACTAGAATGTCCCTCTAAATGCAGGAACACAAATGTATTATTTTGGGGTTGTTCTGAAGATTATCCCTTTCAGAGTTTGCAGAACTGCAAATGTCTCGATGCTTTTCCAGCCACCACTGGATGTAGCTAGCTCCATAGATAAACACAAAAAGAATTCAGCGCTAGTAATCACAAAATTAGTCAAGGTAGGCAGCAACCCAAATGAAGGAAAACCTCTTGGGTCCTTCGGTGGATAGATACAAAAAGATATGGAAGGGCTGCGCCAAATAAGGGTAGATAGTCCAGTAAAGTATTGCTAGGGTGCCAATAGGATACAAAATTAGTCAAGGTAGGCAGCAACCCAAATGAAGGAAAACCCCTCGGGTCTTTCGGTGGATAGATACAAAAAGATATGGAAGGGCTGCGCCAAATAAGGGTAGATAGTCCAGTAAAGTATTGCTAGGGTGCCTAGGATACTTGATAGAGTTCCTCTGTGGATGCGTGTAGTGTAGACCGTTCCGTATATGTAAATACAAGAGAGGTAGAGGCGACTAATGGTATAGTATGAAAGTTCAGGGTGTGATAGGTAACAAAAAGTAAAGAACTCACATTCAAGAGAGCTATGGCCAGCTCTGGTGTGGATTGCGTACAGCGGTATAATCCCCGCTTATGGGATATGTAGGGAGGGAGTCTCCGTCAACACCGTCTGGTAGTCCAGAAGTCGAAAAAGAAAGACAGAAAGCAACAATAGTGCTCTCAATTTTGATGTGGTTCAATGTGCAGATAAGAAGAGGTAAAAAACTCACATTTGAGGGAGCTATGGCCAGCTCTGGTGTGGATAGCGTACAGCGGTATAATCCCTGCTTATAGGATATGTAGCGGCGATACGTCCGTCAGCACCGTCTGGTGATCCAAGGTTCCAATATAGAAGAATAAAAAGCAGCAATAGTGCTCTCAATTGTGATAGGTTAAGAGAGTAGTAAAGAAAATAAAATACTCACAAAGATAGAGCAGAGGTACTCCATAACCTGTATACGAATATACCATGCCCAGTGTAATAACCATACCGGGGAAGATTTGTTGAGGAAATAAAATGGCCAAGGCTTGGTTACAACTGAAAGCGGGGAATCAGAGGCAGAGTAATTGGTCGTTGGGCCACAGTAAAAGCCATTTAAGAACTGTCATGCTAGTAAACTTCTGGGGGCTGTGGCATATGTGTTCCAGTCTAGATTGTCCCATTGCAGTTTACTTATATGTCGGCCAACATTTGGTAGTTTGTATTGGTGCTTACAGGCTGCTGGAGTCATTGCCGGACACTCTTTTTAGAACATTGATTAGCTCATTAAGTGGAAAGACACTGCTCAGTTTCAAAGTCCTGGATTTGCAGGATTTTGAAACTGTACATTTAGAGAGTGCATTGAAAGTCTCTCTGTAGAAATCATTGCATTCATTATCATACACACAAATCTAGAAAATCCCTCACCCCCCCACCCCCTCCACTATCTACTCACTTGTAAGTTTTTTTTTTAACCACTGCTCACAAGACTTGCTTACACAGGCAAAGATTATCTGCATTGATATACAAAAAAAACTATACGCGACACTCATCAAATCTGCAGGTTGAAAATTAGACTTGCCGTTTCAGCCAGTGCACCCAAAGGCAATTATGATTATCCGTTTACCAAACATTTTTCATATCGAGTGAAGTAAAATAAAATCCTTATAGAGACTGGCAATCACAGGAAATTTTAACTATTAAGATTGGACAGCTCAAAGTGTACTATGTTAATATGTTTACAATTTATCTAATGAAGAGTACAACCATCAGTAGAGCAGATCTCATCTGTATTTTGTATATTAATTTTTCGAAATACTTCAGCCGTCTTTATTGTGTGTTTTTAAAGGTGCACTACAGTCACCAGAACCACTACAGCTTAATGTGTGTGTATAGTCTGTCCCTGCAGGCTTTTCAGTGTAAATGCTGCATTTTTTAGTGAACAGACAGTGTTTACATTGCTGCTTAGTAACACACAGTGTGTAGCACCTATGTTCAGAGTCTCCAAGCTGTGCATGGAGACTCTGCCTGTTTCCCATAGAGGTGCATTGATTCAATGCATCTCCAATAAGGAGATGCTGATTGACGCAGTGTTCTATTTTGGTGTGCGTGCGCAATAACCTCACAATGCTTTCCTATGGAGGTGGGGCCCAGCGTGGGCGAAAAGGTGAGTAAAACCACCTTTTTAGCACACTCGGAGTGGGGCAGGTCACCTAAAATGCTGCTTCAGGACTACTGTCAGGAAGACATGTTTGTATTCCTGACACTATAGTATTCCTTTAAAGAAACCGTAAAGATTCATATGTTGAAAGTATGATACACTGTGCAACTTATTTCTTTGCATTAAACCCCCTATGAGTTAGACTTTAGGCTTTTAATCATGTGTCCAGTTGTTTCCTAGGAAATGTTAATAGAACGTTTTGAGAATGTCTGTAGCTATGAGATATGGACATCACTCCCGTTGTAAGCTATAGGAGAACCAGTATTGGACTATCCCAGAAATGTTTCTTGTTTCTGCAAGTGTCACTGCAGAAGAGCATATACTGGATGTGTCAGGATTTGACGTGTCCGCATGTAAAAGTCCTAGAGAAACGGTTTGCATCAAACATGATGCCGGAAAATTACACCGTGCCACAACATGTGCAGCGCCGCCACTGGAATGGAGCAGGATTGACAGGCAGCATGGCAGGCTTATTTTATTTTTATTTATACAATTTTTATTTTCTTTATTCAAGACAAAGTAATACATAGCATAACATAAGGGATGAGGAGAAACAAAAAGCGAGTGGGAAATACAGCAGGGGGTAAGCACAATTGGTGGTACACAGCCATTTAGCCTACGTTTCTGGAAGTGTTGATCTAATAAACATCTTGGAGGCATTCGTTACGATGATTAGTTTAAAACATTTTTTTTTAAAAATGACATGCACGATTACCATATAATTAGTTCTCCAACGTATATTGTGAAAGGTGCTGTCAGTGCGTTGATAAACACCCTTACATAACACAGTCTTCAATTGACTTACATTCCCTGAGTCGCTTAAGATTGGCCTTGATGGGGTGCTGAGGCTTAAGGTAAATTCGCAGGTAGAAGCCCCAACACTTGTTTGGTAAGGTGTGCCATAATTGTGTATTTTGTTCCACGGCAGCAGCAAGTAGTGCGTTTATTGTGTGACTTGGGGATGTCTGAGAGAAGGAGAAGAGGAAGTGGAAGAAGTGTGAGAGATTGGTAGAGGGTAGAGTTCAACCTATGCCCATTATTTGGAATATAATCACAGTTGGAGCATTAATTTATATAGGGGTGTTCTGGAAGAGAGCGATAATTTTCGTACATTGGAAGCAATAATATCACCAATGGTCTCAATTTCCCATGTATGGTGGTAGATATGGCAATTGCCTGCAGAGAAAACCACTTTTCGTGTTTTTAAAAGTCTTTTTATTTTTTTTATTCATTTATTTTGTATTTGGGCAGTGAAGTGTTCCTTTAAGGAAAGTGTTTGTGATACTATCCTTTTGAAGTAGTCTGAAAGTATTCAGATGTTTACTTTTTATTTAATATATTTTTTTCTGGGATTTTTTTTTTCTTTTTTCCACTCTCTCTCGGTTCTCTTGAAAAACTTTTTCTTTGGTTTCATTAAGCTTCTGGATAAATTTATCACCCCGTTAAGTTTGTTTCTGCTAAGCTCTTCAGTAAAACCATTTGGATTTAGTAGTGTAAATATTGCTGTAAAACACTCGGCAAAACCGAATGCTTTAAAAGCCGATAATTAGAAGTTCCAAACATTAAACAGAAGTTTGAATTTAGTTTGCCCAAGCCAAAAAGAATAACATCCGACAACGGAAAATATTTCTATTTATAAGGACCAGTGCCTTTTCACATATGAACAAGCAGGTTTCAATATTTTGGATCCCTCATTTTTAACCAGAGAAATGTAGAGAGATTGTGGATGACTTTGAACATTCAGTTTATATTTTCTTGAATTTAGAGACCATTCCAATTTCAGATAGAGGTCTGTAAGTGACTACTCTCCTGCTTTCATTCATAACTTTGGGTGCTCCACTTTTGGATTCAAAATGCTGAGTCAAGGACTTACCATAGTATCAGGGGGTTATCCTCAAAATATAGTTTATTGGCAGTCCTCCACATCACATTTTTCTAGTTTTGTGACGGTCTTCTAGCACAATGACTTCGTCAATCAAAGAGGTTGCTTTGTTTTTAGGGGTGCTGTTTGGGAACTCGTTGTGTTGGTTTTTTTGGTTTTTTTTTTTTTTTCTGTGTCCTACGTGTTCCTCCAGTGTTTACAATGCTGACTCATTAAAATACTGTATGATTAACCTCATTATGACAAAGAGTAAGGCAATCCTACATCAACTTAATATCGAGACACTTAATGACTTCCCTTATACCAAAGACTGTAAATAGTCACAGTGGGATAGATTTCTTCATTGATATGCTTTTTTGGGGGCAAAGTGTTCCTGTTTTCCTTGATAAATTTGTGACGAAGTCTATAGCCTCTATTTCTAAATAAATCTTTCTCAGACAAGCTTGTTGCATTTCAACTCGCTGAGTTCTGGTGATTGAACAGTCCATCATATTTGATCATATGAGCAAATGGAATTGCACGACCTAGAGATATTGTATTTCTGCTGGGCCTTTGCAAACTTATTTTATGTAAATCTGAGTACAATTAAAAATGAAGGTTAAAAAAAAAAAAAAAAAGAACACTAATAAACAATTTAACCTCTTGCTATAGGGTATTCTTACCATTCTATTGGCAATGTGTCTTTAAAAGAATACATTTTTGTTTTAGGACTGTGGCCAAAATAAACACCCACCACCTGCTAGTCTATAGTGTTGATACACATCATAGTTGATCTGTCTTGTCACATTTTTTTCCATATCTTAGCCAAACCATTAGTGTGGAGCAGCAGGATCCAGGATTAGTTCTGCACCTCCATACAAATCTTTTTTCCCCTCTTTCCATCTGACCCATTAGCTCTACAATTTCTCTGAAGCTCAGCCAGTTGGGCACTTGGAGCATTGTGGGAAATGTAGTTCCCACCAACTGCAGTGCCATCACTTGTCTTTGTGGCTACATGCTGATGGTCGCAAGGACTGGAGCCTGAAAGTTTGAGAGCATCACATATAATCAGAGCTTAATGTGCTACAATAAACCCTGTTAATGGAAATCTGTTCCTTTGGGGAGGCCAAACAATATAGTATCTTCCAACGCACAAATGAGAGAATGGCAAGGACAGTCCAGGACACCTGTCTGAGAATTGTAAGCTGTGCTACTTTAGGAGACACTTCTTTTAATAACCAGACACTCATGACAGCTGCATTCCCGTAATTACATTTTATAATGGGAACTTTGGCCTTCGGCTTCCTACTGTGAAAATTTCAATGTTTTTCAGTTGGTCGTTAAATCTCACAGTTTGGCAAACAGCAGCAGATGCATAGATAGCTACAACATATATACAGTGTGTAATATATTGTGTAACTAGACATGACCAATGGATACAAAATGCTGACCATTATTTTCTCTGATCTTCAGGTCATAGTTCTTTTGTAGGAATGCAATAACGGTTTGGTACCTAGGTTGCATTTAATACCCCTCTTGGTAAAAAGCACAGATCCCTGCCCCCCTCCCCACTGTTGGGTTTGATAAGAGTCTCTGGTAGAGTAAATGCATGGCTCTACAAGAAACTGTATCTGGATGCTGAGCAGTATGATAGCTAAATATGTATCTGCAAGTAGAGTGGAATCTTCTAAACCCGAATGCCCCCTGGCAATTTTAAAGGGTTAAATAACCCTTTAAACATTTACCTGATTCCAGCGCCAATGTCCCTCAGGCTCCTCTTATGTCGACGTCTGATGATGGTGGGGGGACGCTGAAGCACGTGTGCGGCCAGCATGCTTGAGACCTCCCCCATTGACTTAATGCTTTCCTATAGGGTTTTGAAACACACTGAATGCTGCCAGTAGAGGCAGTCTTAACACTACAGTGCAAACATTGTCATTTCTCTAAGGGGGACATGGACACTGCACCCAGACCACTTAAAGGACCACTATAGGCACCCAGACCACTTCAGCTTAATGAAGTGGTCTGGGTGCCAGGTCCAGCTAGGATTAACCTTTTTTTGCTGTAAACATAGCAGTTTCAGAGAAACTGCTATGTTTACCTATGGGTTAATCCAGCCTCTAGTGGCTGTCTCATTGACAGCCGCAAGAGGCGCTTCCGCGCTTCTCACTGTGATTTTCACAGTGAGAAGACGCCAGCGTCCATAGGAAAGCATTGAGAATGCTTGCTTTCCTATGGACTGGCTGAATGCGCGCGCAGTTCCTGCCGCGCATGTGCATTCAGCTGGAGAGGAGGAGAGCTCCCCGCCTGGCGCTGGAGAAAGAGGTAAGTTTAACCTTCCTCTCCATCCAGCCCGGCGGGAGGGGGACCCTGAGGGTGGGAGCACCCTCAGGGCTCTATAGTGCCAGGAAAACGAGTATTTTCCTGGAACTATAGAGGTCCTTTAAATGAGATGAAGTGGTCTGGGTGCCTATAGTGTCCCTTTAAGAGATGGCTTCTTGTGGTAGTTGACAAAAAAAATTTATTTGCTGAATCATCACTCGTATCTCAATGAGAAAGATCAATAAACAGCAACCTGCATAAAGATTATAGAAACTGTAATGGCTTCTTTGGCATAAAGTACTTTAAAAGAGAAAAAACACTGACAAAATTGACAGGTTCTCAAGATATTACCAATCAGGGAGTCCGTTTTTGGAGTGCGACAGGTAATCGGTTACGAGCCGTTTCCAGTTTTGTTTGTGGTCTATTTGGGTGTCTAGATTGGAATCTGCTTACTGGACAGATGATTCATGTTTTTTTTCCAGCTGATTGTGTGTCATCCAGATTGCTACACACATCAGCCACCTCACCCATGAACCTCCTGCATTTATTTCTTTATTAATTTTATATTTGAATTTTTAAAGGTAGGTAGAATCTGCATCTCACCCAGTTTCAGTCTTGGACCTGAGCTGTGATTTAATTTCACCTAGGATAGCTTTCAACATGCAGAATAGAGTGAGCATCTATCATTCTGTCAGGGAACAGGAAAATGTTCTACATGAGGAACTCTGTTGTAGATTGTTGTGCCCAATGACAAGAAGGTGTCATGGACAGAGCCACAACGTCTGGGGAAAAATGTTTTTTCAGTGCTGTATATGAAAGAAAGATCTGTAATTAGACTGTCTTTATGGTCTATGCGCAGACCATCCCTCAGGCTCAGGTGTTTCCAGTATCTCTGTATTCAGCCTGCACAAGCCTTATTTGAGTTATTTGTGTTGAATCTTACTGTTAACAAATGCCTTTCCTGTCCTGGACTAAAAACAATGTTTTTTTTTTCCGTTTTTTTTTAGTAGTTCCTGGAGAATAAAGTGTATAACTTATCTCCTTGAAAGATCGATAGAATTTAATTTTGACAGATATTCCATACTTGACATTCAAAACGTTTGCATGTTTGCTGCCTTCCTAAATCGTGAACCGGTTAACTTAAAACCTCTCTACTTCAAAGGATATTAAGTACTAGGCAAATCATTCTTTTAGCAACTTCCTACCCCATAGCTTCCCTTCAGTTGGCTCTAAGAAAACCTCTAGCTGCTTTTAAACTAATGCTCTTAATAATGATCGGTTTAAGCCTGTTAATTGTTAGTCGTATCTAATACCAAAGCCTCATGGTGAGATTGTAAGATTTTTTTTTTTTTGTTTTGTATGTTGGTAATTAAATAAATCCTAACTTATATAAATGTAAGTGCATTGACTGGCAGTAATGGGAGAGGTATGTAGACTGTATGGTGAGTTTTATTTATACAGAAATGCTATTAGAGAATGTATTCTTCATGCCTGTATGCGTGACGTTTGCATTTGTAAACTGCAGCCGTCTTGTTATCCAACACAACACTTAAAGGGACACTCCAGGCACCCAGACCACTTCTGACCATTGGAGTGGTCTGGGTGCCAACTCCCACTAACCTTAACCCTGCAAGTGTAATTATGGTAAGATGCCATCGTGTAGCAGATTTTAGTTCCATGAATTTGGCGGCACACACCGCTGACCGCGTTTGACTAAATAAAGATGTCCGCCGCCACGTGTTCGTCTGTACGAACGGCGGCCACCCAGCGGTCGGTAATTAACCTGTGGTTAACCACCAGCCTGGGAGTTAAATAGGCTGCACACTTCCACTTGTGAGTGGTCCGCCTGTTCAGTAATTGATTCAGTAAGCCCCATTTACTGAACCATGTGGGAAAAAGACACAAACACAGTATTAACACAGTCTGGGGACACAGTATTAAAGGGACATTGTTCCAAAAAGTCTCAATATGCCCATATAACAGTTTTAAAGGGCCATACACCACAGGGCCATAATCCTGAGGCAAAAGGTGAGCAACCAGGCCCCTCAAGAACCCAGTGGCGAGGTTATTTTCGCGTATATATATATATATATATATATATATATATATATATATAATATATATTACACACACATATATATACAAGTATAGTGGCACTCACCCTTTCAATGAATCAGTAAAAGACTGCCTTGGTGCAATCCCACGCTGGATATGTAAAGCAAAAAGGAAAGAGATGCACTCTCAGGTCTTTGTAAAAAAACTCGATATTATTTAATAACAGGTAACATACATCTGATCGACGTTTCGACCTCTTCAGGTCTTCCTTGAGGAAGACCTGAAGACCTGAAGAGGTCGAAACGTCGATCAGATGTATGTTACCTGTTATTAAATAATATCGAGTTTTTTTTTACAAAGACCTGAGAGTGCATCTCTTTCCTTTTTGCTTTATATATATATATATATATATATATATATATATATATATATATATATATATATATATATCGCAAAAAGGAAAGAGATGCACTCTCAGGTCTTTGTAAAAAAAACTCGATATATGTGTGTGTGTATATATATATATATATATATATACACACACGCGTGATCAAAACTATTCAACCATTGAAATCGTGTTTATTGTCAAAATGTACAGATTTTCAGCTGTTTGCAATGAGCAAATCAAACAAAAGCAATTGAAATAGTTAAACACAGTAAATGTGTCAAGTGGTTTCCCCACATTCAACTGAATGTGAAACTTATGACTTCTCCACTCTCTAAATTTTAGAGGCAATGTTGGAAGCATAGTTCACAAATTCAAAATTGAAGGAACGGGGGTTACACTACCTGGACGGGTTAGAGAAAGGAAGCTATCAATGGTTGCAATCAGATTTCTGAGAAGGAAGGTTGTGGAAACTCCTTGAGTGACACCTGCAACAAGACATGGTGGCAACAGGCACTAAGGTTTTAGTGAGCACAATAAGGCGCTTACTAAACACAGAAATTCTCCATGCCAGAACTCAGACGTACACCACTACTGACACAAAAGCACAAGAAAAGTCGTATCCAATATGCTCAAAATGATATAAATAAGCCACAGAAACTTCGGGATTCTGTTCTGTGAAGCGATTAAACAAAACCGGAACTTTTCGGTCCAATGGATTAGCGGTATGTCTGGAGGAAGAAGAATGAAGCATATGCATTGGAAACTTGCAGAGTGTGGAAGGTAAGATCGATTCATTGAAGTATCAGGTGATCCCAGGAGAAAATGTCATGCCGTCTGTGAGGAAGCTGAAGCTTGGGTGTCATTGGACCTTATAACTAGACAATGATCCCAAGCATACCTCAAATTCCTTGGTTGCATGAGAAGTCCTGGAAAATTCTACAGTGGCCACCACAATCACCTGACTTGAACCCCATAGAAAAGTCTCTGGTGGGATTTAAAGAAGGCTGTTGCAGCATGCAAACCCAAGAATATTACTGAATCAAAGTCTATTCCTCAGGAACGCTGCCAGAAACTGGTGTCTGGCTATGCATCTTGTTTGAAGCAGGTTATAACCACAAAAAAGGTGCTGTACTAAATAGTAAAGATGCTTGCCATGAAGGGGTTAATTAATTTTAATTTTAAGACTGGATAAGTTGCATTTTAAAGTTGAATTTGGGTAAACCACTTGAAGCGTTGTTTGTGTTGAGCTTTTGTTTGATTTGTTAATTGCATACAGCTGAAAGTCTGTAAACGTCGACAATAAACCTGATTGTCAGTGTGGTTTTAATCATTTTGATTGTGTGTGTGTGTGTGTATATATTTATTGTAATAAAACCTACAGCAATGTCTCTTTTAAACTGCAATAAATGTATTGAGAACTTCTGTGTATTTCAGATACATCGTTCTTCTAAATTGTATTTAAATGCAAAAATAGTTATTGGTAAGTCATCAAACTTTTTTCCAAACAGCCCCACCCCTTGCCACACAGCAACGCGTAACCCTAAAATGTAAATGCCCCTCTTCGTCCATTTGAAATGTTGGGTGGTATAAGATACCTTACATAAGTTCTATGTGTTTCTTTGAATGGGTTTAGAAGAGTTAATTGTTTAAAGTGTTGTGTTAGGACAGTGATGGCTGGTAAAACACCATGCTCCATAATATTTGCATTGGTAAGATTAACCATCCTCTGTTAAAGGCACTGTTGATTAATAATCCTTTCTGATTTTGTATTTTTTTTTCAGAATTCTATACGACATAACCTATCCCTGAATAAGTGCTTTCTTAAAGTGCCTAGATCCAAGGATGACCCTGGAAAGGTAACTTTGTCACGTCTATACAGTACATTGTATGCTACATTACACCTGTAAATCTATTACATATTGGGCAGTGGCATTTTTAAGGGCACCATGAAATGAGAAGCGAGTGTGGTCTTAATGCTAGCTCTATCCAATTCTTCCCCTGGCCGACCAGGTCTGCCGGTCCCCGCGGCCGACCAGGTCTGCCGGTCCCCGCGGCCGACCAGGTCTGCCGGTCCCCGCGGCCGACCAGGTCTGCCGGTCCCCGCGGCCGACCAGGTCTGCCGGTCCCCGCGGCCGACCTGATCAAATGCAGTTTATTCACTGAACTAAGAATTGTGAAATAATGACAAGGAAAACTGCATGTTGTAAACTAAAATGGCTGAATCTGAGCTATTTCTCTCTAATTGTGCAGTCTTAAAATGTTCTTTGTCGGTTATCTACAATTCCTAGTTTAGTAAATACAGTCTTCACTGATAATTTTACGGATGTGTGAAAGATTAAGCAAGGTCTTTTGGAGTGTCTAGGATATAAATAGATAGAGAGCAGAAATTAGGGAAGTAAATATGAATCCACGTGAATCCAGATAACCCAGTGGCAACGTTTTGGCCACACAGATGGGACTTTGTCAGGGCATCCGCGATATAAATATAAAATCTTGTGCTGCAGAAGATGAGGTTTTTGCTGAAAACAAATTTCTTGCACACAGTTAAACCGCACTCACGTACATATGAATGTTTGCATGTCTGTGTGCAATTATGTAAATTGCTTGAGCACTTAAAAAAAAAAAAAAAAAATATATAATAATGCTGATTGTTTGAAGGTCACTAATCCTTTAAGAAATAAGTAGCTGCAGTTGCAATTTTTTTTTCTTAATTTAAACTATAAATGTACAATTAAAGGGTTTCTGTGCGGTTTTTTGTAACCCTTGCGTTTGTGATTTATGAGATTTTGAGTGTTCCTTTTTGGTACTAAATTTAATTTTATTGCAAATGAAGTAATAATTGTGGTCTACAGAGCACTCACTTAATTGATGAAAGATTGATGGTAGGGATACATAACTTGGATGCATGAAGCCTATTTTTGGAATCTTGCGGCCTGTCTACGAAGCTGCTAATGCAGGCAAGCCTGCCAATTACTATCAGCAGGCCCACTCCTTCATCACGGTTTTCTTATTTTTCTTTTTTCCTCCTCCCCCTCCCCCTTTTCTTTTCTTCATTATTACTTTCCACATCTAGCAGTGACCTTCTAATCTCTGATTGCTAAAAGTTATTTTTGTTTTTATTTTGGGGGGGTTTGTGTTTGTTTTAGTTCCACCTACCCCCTCTCATGTTTTGATCTTTTCAACTCAATTACTGATGAAACATTAAAAACCTGATGGTTATAGAAACAAATTTGTTATGATTGAGCCAAGAGTAATTTTTGAATCCAACACATAAACTTAGCTATGACTTTTCTATATAAATATAACATTTTTCAATAGTACAACTGCTATGCTGAAAAAGCAATGACTGGACATTTAATGCACATTATACCCTACATCAGGGCTGCCCAACAGGTAGATCCCCAGATGTTGTAGAACTAGAACTCCATTGATGCTTTGCATGCCTTTTAGAATGCATTTTGAATGACAAGCATACATCATCTTTTGTTGAAATGATATCAAGGAGTGACATTTCCCAACTGTCTACTAGTTGAGTTTATGTACTGAAAAACACTGTAATCAAAGTTGGGAAACACACAGGTACAACTGATTTCCACCCAGTTATGCAATTTCTTTATCGTAGATGATATTACTTAAAATAGAATACGTTTTAATTTGCATAGACTATCTGTTGTTGAGTCATGGTGTAAAGTTTATTAAAGTGCACCTGTCTCACAAACATTGTTTTGTTGTCACTTTAAAGAGAGTACAATTTCATCTGTAAACTATGTTAGCAAATGTATTAAAGGAAAGGTAATAAATACATTTTACATTAAAGGAGCACTATAGGGTCAGGAGCACAAACATGTATTCCTGACCCGATATTGTTAAAAACACTATGCATCTCTACAAGAAAAGTTTAGTGTCTGCATGCAGAGGGTGGAGACACTGAGTGGCAGTGCTGCTTACTGTGCATCACTGCCCCAGGAACCGCCTCTAGCAGCCATCTGAAGAGTGGCCAGAGGAGGTATCCATAGGCTGTAATGTAAAAACTGAATTTTCTCTGTAAAAAAAAACGTGTTTACTGCAAAAACCCAAAGGGACTGACTCCACTCACCAGAAGCACTACATTAAGCTGCTGTTGTTCTGGTGACTATAATGTCCCTTTAATTTGACATTTTGGATCTTGAGTGCATTGCCGTCCGCATGCCAAGTCACAGCAGTAAAGTGTACGGCCATCTTGTCTCCAAGTGGTGTGATGGCATCACACAACTTGCACACTAGTGATTGTGGGATGTTATTTGCATCAACTGGAAGCAGGGGGATTTTATACACAGCTTCCCCATTTATATCAGAAATCTGTGTTGAGTAAGGAGAAAGAGGAAGTTTGCTGGCAATATCATATGCAAATGTATAGCTTAAAATACATACATAACCACAGTGTACACATTGATTACACACCTACCTGAATGTGAAATTAACATCCACATAATTGAGACACTATAGTCACCAACACAACTCCAGCTTATTGAAGCAATTTGGTGTACAATCACGTTTAATGCTTTAATAATAGTAATGTGCTTGAATCAAAATTCTTTTCCTTATTTTAACAAACATGAAAAGTGTAATGTGTGCAGTTTTATAAAACTTCTCACAAATGGTTTGACCCACAAACTGGGACAGTGTACAAAGAATCATTTCACCACAATAAGTTTGCGTTTATAGTGCTTGGAGTACCCCTTTAAGTACAGTGGAACCTGGGAACTTGAACGGTCCCGTTCTCGAACAATTCGGAAGTCGACAAAATTAGATTAAATTAAAATTTATTAGAAAAAAAATCGTCTCGGTACGCAAACTTTTTTGGTACCCGAACAAATCATGCCACAGACATGTTCAATTAGACACACTTTAGACAAATTTTAAATGCCCGAAGAACAGTTACGTATCCCCATTCAAACAATAATACTCTTCTCCTTTCCACTTACGCCATCAACTCACATCATTACAGGTAAAGTGAAGTTATATTTTCATTTAATTTACTGTACATTTTGTTTATTATTATTTTCCTATATTTTTTTATTCATGTAAGGCATTATTATACTATACAATTTGTGTTAAAAGGCTGTTGTTATTTTTGGGGTCTGGAATAGATTAATCAAATTTACATTAATTCTTACGCGGAATGTTGATTCGGTTCTCGAACAAATCGGAACTCAAACAGCCTTCTGGAACGGTTTAAGTTCGAGTTCCGAGGAATACATTTCAATGAAAATGAATCGCGTGTTTTTTAATTAAGAATTTTACTGAAGAATCTCACCTGTTCCAAAACCAATATTTACGACCTAAAAAGGTTTGTGCTTTGTAGATGGAAGAGTTTGTGTATGTTCATTTCTCTTGTTTGGTTTGCTTAAGTGATGGGAATAAGCTGAGCTGGGTATCAGTTTATTTTCTAAAAGTATGTATTGAAGGCATGACTTAAAATCACTTGTGTATTTTGTTGTGAGTCTCTGTAATAAAGATTGTTTAGAATTAATTAGATTTAGAAATCTCTTCTTGCTGAAAATGCTTTTATTAGAAATAAAAACTACCCAAAAGAAAAGGTTAACGTGTAACGATACTCTGTCATTTTACTTTTAGGGTTCTTATTGGGCAATAGACACAAATCCAAAGGAGGATGCAATACCAGCACGGCCAAAGAAACGGACGCGGTCTGGAGAGCGGGTGAGTTTGCTTTTACCCAATTCTTATCGAACAAAATAAAGAACGTTGTTGCTTTTTTAATTAACAAACTAAGGGGAACATGGGCTCGACAATGCCTAGCTTCCAACACTAACTATAGCTCTATTCTCAGCTCTGAATAAATGGGACAACTGGAATGGACACGTGGGTCCCATAACTTATTCATTGACATTTAATCGTAAAAAAAAAAGCCCACTCTGCAATTTAAAACTGTAAAATAAATTCTCGTTCACATTTTTAATAATGTGAAAATATCTAGTAGTATAAATGCAATTTCCTCATTGTCAATGTCCTTATAAGGATATTGCTTCTAGTAAGCTGTTTTTTGTTTTGTTTGTTTCATTATCATAGTTAATTATGATCACTCCTGTTTTACCTCTGACTTTGCCATTACTTGGTTCGTAGTTCTGAACTCAGACATATTTCCATGTGCAATTGCCAGGAAGAATGTAAACATTGTTTTCATTGAATAGTGGCTTACTATTGAACCACATGGAATGCTGGAGGGTGTGTAGACTAGTACACATTTATTAAACAGTAACTCACTGTCATAATGTCTGAAGAAATGCAGTTTCCACCAATGATGACTTTATAGATTAGAATGTCCTAGATAAAGCAGAGTTGATGCAACACTGTGTTCATTAAGCAAGCATACAGCAGCTCACACACCTATATCTAACATGCAGCGATCCCTATAAATATACATAATTAGCCACACAGAGGTAGATTAACAGATGTTTTAAAACTACAACTTCCATGATGCCTTCTCATTCTAAAGGCATGCAAAGACACACAAAACATGTGGGACTCTACCTTTTTGGCACCCCTGATGATAATAGCATATTATTTTTCCGTCGCTTTGCTCCAAACTCTCTGCCATCCATAATCTATAAACAAGGTAGTTCAAAAATAGTGCATCTTTATTTGTTGAAAAAATGATAACATGCCATAATAAATAGCAGGCAGACCTCACGAACAACAGGGCATCAAAAAAAATAATGTAATAAGAACATAGTGTCCAAACTACACAATAAACACCAATGCAAAAAGAAATAAAAAAAAAAATAGAAATGCTTTCCTATGGACGGACTGACTCCGCGCGCGGCTCTTGCCGCGCATGCGCATTCAGCCGATGACGTCCAAAGGAGGAGGAGAGTCCCCAGCGCCGAGGGAGCCCGGCGCTGGAGAAAGGTAAGTGTTTAACCCCTTCCTCCCACTTCAGCCTGGTGGGAGGGGGGCCATGAGGGTGGGGGCACCCTCAGGGCACTACAGTGCCAGGAAAACTAGTTTGTTTTCCTGGCACTATAGTGGTCCTTTAATGTATTTTTCTCCTATAGCTTTTAGTATTCATTACAGATACAGCCAAGCTCCATTTTCTTTTTCTATGGTCATTTATGGCAAAGATTTCCATATTTCATGTTTTGCCGGGGACATTCTCCTGTTCTCCGACTTGGTTTAGTGATATATAAAGTTATAAGGTCACAGTTTAGAACATCAAAAACTTGGGCATTGTAGCAAATCATGGATAGCTAATACTAAATACTATATTCCCCCCCCCACCCACCCCCCCTCCGCTCTAGATGCTATGTATATAGGTATCAATTCCCTTTTTTGAGTTTTACTGGAAGGAGACCTTTGGAAATCTTTACATTTTTTTGCAGAAGCTCCTGACTGTAACATGCCTACTTGGTATTCGTTATCCCCGTTAACACCATCTTTTTCCGCCAGGAGTCTTGTCACTGTCATGCCCAGCTCCGAAACACTTTAGGTTTTTGGTTGGTGTGTGTTACCTTTCCCTGTTACTTTTTGCTTTGTGCCGATTCAAACCTGCAGTGGACCTTAAGTGTTTGCAGTGGCGTTACTTTTCTTTTTGGTTTTTTATAGGACATATTTATCTCTGTTTTTAATTATATTATTTTTATATATTTCAGGCCTCAACACCATACGCGGATTCCGATTCATTGGGAATGGATTGTATTCTCTCTGGAAGTGCCTCTCCAAATCTGGCTATCAACACTGTGACTAACAAAGTACGTTTACTTTCTTTCCTTTTTTTTCTTTTAATAATTAAAATGCTTCAAGTTTTTCGGTTTATATATGTTGGATGGTGGAACTTCATGGGAGTTCTAGCTGTATAGGTCAGTGGAATTGCTTTCATTTAATGCACATAGTGTTTCTTTTATGTTACTAGATTATTTTACTTAGTTTTCTTAGGGCTAGAAGTTGTATTGTTTTAAGGGTAAAATTGTTTGACAATGCTTTAACCGAGGATTCCTCAAAACTCTGGCCCTCTGGATGTCTCTGAACTACAACTCCCATGATTCTTTGAATTAAATAGTAGCCAAAGAATCATGGGAGTTGTAGGTCAGCAACATCAGGAGACCCAGAGTAAATGCTGTAAATGCTCTTTGTATCTGAGCTTCACCTGGCCCTGTCTGTAACACTTTAAATGGTGGGCCTATCTGTTGTAGAGAACATGGTTTGTTCTATAATAAATATATATATATAAAACAACATATGGACTGCACTCACGGTCTCTCATAGTGAAGTTTTCTTTATTCTATAAGAAAAAACAGCAGATCGACGTTTCGGTCCTCTCTGGGACCTTTTTCAAGTGAAGTCTTTCATCTGCTTCATGAGGTCTATTGACAGTTGTGTAATATTACTTTTCAAATTTTGTACTGCATGCATCGATCGGGCTTTTTAGAGAAACAGACCCCTGGAGAAATTAACCTGAATAACGGCTTTTTAGGCTGATGATATTTTCTAATTTTCTACATTTTTACTCTTGTTTTCTAGGTAACCTTAATTACCCCAGATCAGGATGGCAATGACAGCCCTCGAAGTAGCCTTAACAACAGTCTTTCTGATCAGAGTGTGTCGTCTTTAAACTGTAAAAGTGTTGGCAGTGTACATAGCTATACGCCGGTAAGCATTCTGTATCTGGGCACACAACAAGCTCTTTCATTTTTCATCCAGTTCTTTGTTTTGTGCTATTTCTTTCTAAGAATAAGAGTGCTGGCATAATCTTGGTGTTTGTACAAGTTGTAATTTATTTGTACTGGGTAGGCATTGTGCGTTTTACAAGAGTCCTCAATGCCAGGCTTTTTAACCCCTGAACATCTCGGATTGTTCGGTTGTGTTTTTGTGTTTTGTCTTGGTTTAATTTGTAATTCGTAAGATTCCATAGTTAGGGGAATGTATTGTCTATCGTTTAGTTTTGACAAGTATTGGACTAATGGCCAAACTACTTAATACATTCTTTAAAATAACTGTTGGGTGGAAAACCCAAAGCTTTCTACCTGTTTTGAATAAGGAGGTCCTGCCCTCTGATCTACATGTATTTATTATCTGTCCCCAGTAGATATTTTATAAGATTTATATGCCTATAGTCCCCTCTAAATTTAGAGGTTATAACCTCATTTTGAAAAGAGTGATGGCTCTTATTTTTAGTCTAATATTTCACATCCCTGTCACATGTAGGTCATTAACATGAAAATGGCAATCGCCATTACCTAATGACACACACTCCTTATATGAAAAAGGGGATCCTTCTGGATCATATCCTTTGTTTATGGACATATAAACAAATTCCTTTTCAAATGAGGGGTCTCATGCACCTCAAAGTAGTTAGTGGTTGCTATAGCAATTGAAATCACATGTCTACTAGGTGACTTTTGGGGTACCTTGTGCCCTAAAAGTAACTTTAGAAAATGTCAGAGCTGACAAGGGGCAATTTTTCCTAAGCCACTAGGTCGCAGGGATTGTGGACTACAGCCACGATTAAAATAGTGGGGTGTGTGTTATGGTATCTTTTGGCGTGGTAGCTGGTTGGATTTGTACAGGGCCTTTGCTATTTAGCTACATGGTTTAATCTATGTACAATTATACCTCCCATTTTTATTTATTTTAATTTTAGATTGTGTTCCTGACTTGTAGGCTGATACCCACATACAGAACAGTATAGTATGTTTATTAAAGGGAGTTGTTACATATAAAAACAATTAACAGTACTGTTGTGGTAATGGAACTTTTTAATAGCTAAAATGTATATTAGTTGTACTAATTCTCATTTCAATCCACTCTCTGGATTTTTTTCATACTTTTTTCATAAAAAGAAGTCTAGCTCTGCCTTAATGTATGTGAATATATATTGGTTGTTATGTTAAGTCTCCTTGTGTGCAGTACGATACTACATCTTTTATTATAAGTTTGAATACTTATAATAAATGCATTACGAGGTGGAAAGAGACACAGTCCAGTTTCTAAAGGAGCATGATTTTACAGTGTGTTAGGGATGAACATTCAGGGGCTGATATGAAGCTGTAGTTCCTGCTCACATCGAAAAAATCTGTTTGACAATTGTCCTGCTACCAGCTTTTTAAACACAGAGATTCCAGATGAAATCCCCAAAATTGGTGATGATGATAGACTCAGAGCTGAAATTTAATGTCCCCTTCTTTATGGGGTTCAGGATCCTTAGAACGCGCAAGGCAGACATTTTCACTGTCTGGAGTAAAACTGAAGTGCCACACATTGCTTATGTTGGTGCCACTTTTTAGCATCCAGCACTAGTGAAGAATAATAATGATGTATGTGTTGGTTGAATTAATTGGTGGGTAATGCGAGTTAAAGTAGAAATGTATATTTTAACTGTAATGCCTACATTATAGAGTTGTGCTCTTCTGCTAACTACCATGTAAACTGTTCCTTAATCTTCTTTTCATTAGGTAACAAGCCATCAGGAGCCATCTGCTCACACATTAACCCAGCAGTCACCATATAACACACAGGAGCAGGAAAAGCATTTCCCTGAATATAATTTTGACGATCTCAGTGACTCCTTTAGGAGTTTATACAAGACTGTTTTTGAGCACTCTCTAAGCCAAGGTGGGTCTCTGTTGCTGTTTTGTGTTTTAAATGTAATTTTTAATGAAAATGTTGTTTCTGCATACAATCAGACTTACACTCTGTAGAATAAAAGTATTTGAGAACCTATACTAATAGTGCTTGATGCTTTATCCAGCCACGTGATGAATGATGCATGGTGTGTTCTGTAGTCCACAACAATTGGCATCGGTTCACTATTACTGTACTTTCGGTCACTTGCTTAGTCAAAACCTCATTGGGTGGAACAACAATCCATTTTTTTTTTTAATTGGGTGGGGGAAGGTCTGTTTATAAACTAGGGATATATGGTATGTGCTAGTTCTTTAATATTTAAGTTTATTTAGGTAAACATATTCTTGATGTACATAAGTCACAAACAGATTACAGTGATTTTCCACCTATTAAAAAGGATACATGTAAATAAAATAAAAATTATACAAACCTCTGATTAAAACCCTATTGCAGTTTGTAGCTAGTGGTGGCATAAGATGATAATGGTCCCCAGTGAAGCAAGTTCTGTCTCCCTCTTATTTATCATCACAAATTCCCCCAGATTATTTCGCTATACCCTGCTTTTATTTTTATAGAAAACTGTTTCCGGCAATCCTTGTCCAGTTCAATCAAGTTTTCTGTAAAATACATCACTGCACTAAGCAGTTTGCACGCTGCAGGGCTTGCCCATTTGCATTTGTATGTATTTTAGAGCACATCAGCTATTTTCCAGGAAGCAGTGTGACCTACATAACTTTTTACCTGTGTTCAGATGTAATAGCACAAAAAAAACTGTGCCATCGGAGTACGCTATATTAATGAGACATGTTTACGTCTTCTGTGACCAGATGTCTCTTTACTGAGATCAGTCCCCAGGGAATGTCTTATTAACCTAAATCAGGACTATATATACCCAGATCTCTATGGCTTCTGACTTTAATTGTGGACAAATGCTACTACTTTATTCCTGGTATTGCTACTAATTATCCTTGCAATAGTAGGAATGAGCAAGCAACAGTCACAGTGCAAATGGCCTGGTGCCAGTTTAAACCCCTTCATATTGCTCTTTGAAGTTTCATCCTGCCAACAAATCGCATTGACTGGAGCACATGATGTATCCAGTTATCGGTTTATGGCCACTATTGTCCTTCAGTGTCCTATCAGAGAATGGAAGGGAACATCCCTTCTACTTTTTCAACATATTTACATTGCAGCCAAATACATGAACATGTTCCATTATTTATCGGTTTCATTTTCATACTTGTTTATCAAATGATGCCATCTGTGACCAAATGTGTCTCTACTCATACCAGACCCCAGGGTATGTCCTATTTACTGCCACCCATTGTTTGCATAAGAAATGTCCCACACCGCATATTTTCCTTTTGGACTCCTAAAATCCTTGACAGATCTCAGAATTTGCGTGCTTTTTCTTTATTTATTTAAACCCAGACTTTGTAAAACATCTGTGCAAGCTGTTCTTTTATAAATATATTCCTAGATTGAAATATAAGCTCCCCAAATCCCCCATTCTTTGTGCCAGTATGATCAGAAAGTGCGCAGGCCCAGCAGACTGCTGCCAGGTCACGATCAACCTTTGTGAGATTTTATGCGGTTTCCAAAAAGAAAGTGTTATGGTGATTTGCTGCTGTTTTACGGATAAACACATTGTCTAAACTTTCTTCCATTCTAGCTTTAGATCCATGTTTAACTCCAGCCCGCATTTGATGTGAAAGACTTTTTCTATGAAAATGCATTTTCACACAATGTGCTGTTCAAGATCCCTTACAGTCCTTTGAACTAGAATGTGTTCTGAAGTGCACCTTGTTTAATTCATTTGCCAAACTCTATCTTTGTCATTGTGGAGGTGAGAGCATGAGGGTGGACTGGGGGGAAAAAACTGGAGGTTTTAGCTTTTTCTTGCCTTCCAATGTCATGTAAATTCTTAGTCTGTCTAATAGTTCACAAGCTATAAATATGGACCTTTTCAATTGAAAAATTGCGATTTTCCATATCCTGGTCATGACATCTTCTACACCCAATAAGATGGGTTAACCAAAAAAAAGTAGTTAAAGGTAACTGAGTAAACCAGCAGTTAGGTTGAACATATCCATAATACCTGCAAACATGTACCGTATGTGAGCAACGGGTGGCATACACTAGGAGTTGCAACTTAACCACATAAGGACACATGACGGAGATATTCCATCATGCTGCCCTTTTACTACTGATCTGTGTTCTGAAGGGGTTAATGTATATTTTAACTGTGTATGTTTCTGCCCTCTATGCTTTGTCTTGGCAAAGTACTCTCTGGATTATATGAATATGCTTTCTTTTACAGGTCTGATGAACATGCCTTCGGAGTCACCCCAGCAGACACATTCTCCTTGCTCCTATCAGCACTCTCCTAGCAGCACAATGAGTTCTCAGCAGCACAGTAGCCAAAATAACCTGACAAACAGCCATGCAAGTAACCTTGGCAACACCGTAGGCGACACCATGGTTCACTTGACCCATCCCCTCCACACACAGCAGTCTCAGCAGTCCCCGCACATACACCACAACGTAGTACATCATCCGCACACGCAGCAGTGTACCCAGCATACATCACACTGTCACCAGCATAGTCCTCATCAAGCACCCCATCCGGCACAGCATCAGCATCTGCAGCACCACCCCAACCATCAGCATCAGACCTTAGCGCATCAGACATCTCTAACACAGCAGCAAATTCCCTGCGGGAATGGTAAGAGCCTATATATTCTTCCAAAACCCTTCATTGAACAGGTAGCGGAGGAGTTATGATGATTCTAATTCCACAATACTAGCATTTTAAAAGAGGATTTGTCTTTTTATTGGGTAGGGTGCGACTTATGGATCCAGTTAATAAATATAACTATTGTGTAAGTTGAATTTAATCATGGGAAACAGGAGAGGAGAAAAAGTTATTACACACACACACACACACACACACACACTTTCTCTATTTATATAGTGTTGTGCATCACCTACATATCTCAAGTTAAACTTTGAGAAGTCCCCCTTGGGCACAGAAACTCAGATGATCTGATTTCCACAGCTACCCCATAGTTCCCAGCAAATGAGCACAGACAAGCATTGTGGTTCAGACTGCATTTATACAGGTACCCTTCAGCAGTGGACACTGAATTAAACACAAGATCCAAAAGGATCAGTTACCAGAAGCCAACCATGTATTCTTTTGACCTTGAGCAAGACAAACAGAGAAGGGGTAGGGATCTGTTTGAGGTGTAAATATTTTATATTCACAGAGTTCAGCTTTTGGAAATGGAGAAATGTACATCTTTTTGTGCTTGGTCCTAAACATTAGCAACACTAAGCAATTATTTTAAAAAACAAAAGAAAGGAAATCCTTTTAGCTATCCCGTTATGCCACCAGTTTGCCAGTATCACCACAACTCCCAGGAGGGCACGTGAGTTGCTTCAGTGGGTGAAAGGGTTCAAAATCGCTATTTGCCTGCACTAGGTGCAAACTAATGACTAAATTACCTCTTAGCACCACTTACATCTGTAGTATAAAAAAAAAAACTGCCACCACCAAGGCAACTTCAAAAACTTAGGTTACCAAAAAAAAATAAAAAATTTAAGTTAAAAACCCCACAAAACAGTCTAGTAGAATGTCTATGAAATCAAAATTCTATTGAATAGGTCTCCTTGGGAAACGTAGTTATATACCATACCATGGCAGAACTAGAAGATTTATTATGACAAGAAAATTGGTACAGTGCATAAATATAAAAAAAAAAGACGTTTTATTACACCAACAAACAGATAAAATAAATAAAAAGGCGAAAATTAACAAAACATCCTAGTTACTTTCTAACGTATATATTCTGTCCCTGGGAGCTTTGGCAGGAAAGTGGCAACTTACTACAAAATTAAATTTTACTATTTGCATTATGCAGAGTTTTGATGTTTGGGCTCCCCACAAAAAAAATACCAAAACCAGCACCATGCTGACGAGACCCAGAAGGTCGAAACTGTACATATGGTCACTGATCCTTTTGGATCATCACCCATACTTTGGTCTAAAAAAAAAAAAAGCGGTGTTTAAAACCGTGTCCCTTACTAAGATGATCTGCAGAATTGCAGGGTGGTCCCTGATGCATATCAAGTTGGGACCTCTGGGATAGTTGTGGAAAAGTGATTTCTCATTTTGTGCCCTAGGGAGACTTTTCAAAGTCCAGTTTGAGATATCTAGGTGATGTACGACATTGTTTTATAACATAAACAGGTGTGTGTGGGGGTTTAAAAATAATAATTTTTTTTTTTTTTTTTTTAAACCCATTGCCCTTTTCACTTGCCACATGTAAATAGATGTCATATACACTAATGCATGCTATAGCAGTAATGTCAGCCGTGATGAACACATTTAAAAAATCTAAAAACTGCAAACACAAAAATATTCCTTTCGAACTATCTGGAGTGTGTACGTGTTTCATTTTTTTTTTTTTTTGTGTGTGGAAGATTTTAGGTCTTCCTATGTCCAACAATAAATAGAAGTATTCCCTAGATAGAAAATCCAAATAGGGAGTACAGAGAAAAACGGGTTATAAGGGTGGCAATACGGGCATAACCCTGCATAAAGCACAAAATATACAAAAAAGTGAAGGAAGAACAACCCCGTGATAAATCAGGTTGTTCCTCTTCAAACCACCCCAAACAGATCAACGTCTAAGGAAAATAAATAAATTTTATTATTAAGAATAGGACCAAAGAAACCTAACAACTCATATATGACAGTGGACTAAAAAGTTCTAGTGGAAACAACATGTATCAATCACTGTTATATGTAGAAAATAAAACTCAAACAAAGTTAAAGCTACATATGATACTGTGAACACACATTGAACCTAACAGAAGGTCAGAGAGTGCAGATTGAATAAACTTGTATGAAAAGAGTCAATCAATGAGGAGGACCATATAAATAAAGAGGAAGTTCAAATGAACCTTCAAGCTGAAAAAGTCAGTCTCATAATAACTCCATATTATACTATGTGGTCGCCCCGGTGTGTATAAGCACTGAGTAAACTATTAATAAAAGTCCACTGAAAATAAATGAGAGAAAAGTATATTCAAACAAAAACAAATAAATCAAATTACCTAAGGACTCACAGATATAACACAATACTGTCTATAAACTGCAAGGTTCCAGTATAAATGGAAGTGGTCAAAGCACTATCCCATATAATAGTCTAAACTCAAAAAGAGTTAGTGCTGAGTATGATTGTATACATGAAACCTGCAGAAAGTCAGAAAGTGCATTTTAGTAGACTTGCATTGGAAATCGAAAGGATAGGGAAGATATTATAAGCAGAGAGGGATATAAAAAGTGGAGATGGATATAAATATAAATATAAAGTAAGCCTAAATAGGACAGACAAAACTAAATAAATCCACCTCACAGTAAATCCCTGCTAGTTAGTCGTCCCGGTATGTAAAACCGATCAACCCCAAAGTCACTATATCATAAGAGTACACTAAGGTATAACAAGTGTTAAGAATACATCGGAAAAAATAAGCCCAAAATAAAACAAAATATATATATTATAGACAAAAAAGTGATAAGAGTAAAGAATTTCCTTTAAAAAAAGCAATTCAAGAAAGTATTTCTTTCAAAATATTTTTACACAAAGCTGGTGATAATGAGAGCAGGATGGGAGGATAAGAGGGATATATATAGCCCAATAAGTCGTATATTTATATGAAGGGGGCAAAAGAAAAGCCCTCATTCAGACCCAAGGGTTGGAGGGTTTTAAGTTCATATATCCATCTAGACTCCCTCTGTCTAAGTGTTTTATCAAAATCCCCCCGTCTAGGGGTCCTTTTTACTAATTCCAATCCACAGAATTTAAGATTACTAGAGTCCCCATGATGGAATTCTTTAAGGTGTCTAGATATAGGTGTCTCAAGGCGGTTCCTAGGAGATCTTACATGTTCCATAATTCTATCTTTAAATGCTCTAAAGGTTTTCCCTACATATTTCTGTCCACAGGTACATTGGAGCAGATATACAAGGCCTTTAGTATTACAGTTAAAGAAGCTTTTAACTTTGAAGGAAACCAGTTCCTGGCTGTCACTGACAGTCTTGGAGTTCTTAAGAATAAACTTACAGGCTACACATTTACCACAGCCATATGTGCCCGTTGGTGGAGTCCCCAACCAGGTGGCACGTGGTTGTGTTCTAATAGAAAAATGGCTGGGTACCAGTAAGTCGCGAATGTTCCGTCCCCTCCTAGCTGTAATATTGGCATGTGGGCTTAGAGCCCCCTTAAGATGTACATCATTCAATAGTATGGGCCAGAATCTCTCAAGTGACTTCCGTACTTCTGGCCATCCCCTATCGAATGTTGCAATCATACGGATGATTCCAGTATCCTTCTTAGTCGTTTTATCAGTATGGTCACATAGTAGTTCACCCCTCTCTGTTTGTAATGCCTTCTTATAGGCTCTTTTTAAACAGCGGTTCGGATAACCCTTCTCCTTAAAATGTTGTCGAAGTTGTTTCGCTTTTAAGATATGTCCAACACTAATTAGTGGCAGCTGTGATGTTCCTCAGTTTTTTCTTAAATTTAATCAAATTATTGAAATAATTTGCAAATAAACATGTTTGCAGTTAACAGAAAATGTATAGATCCAAACAAACTTTATTTTTGCAAAATAATGTCTGTGACTACCACATTTGTGGCATTTTAGTGCAGTGAAAATGAAAATTGGTATTAAATCAACCCATTTTGCAATGGGTCTTTGTCAAATCTAACCTTCTAGAATCATATACATAAATTTATAGGCAGTTGAGATTTTACATATGTGTGATTTTTGCAAAGTACTGCAGCAATAAATTACTCAGTAGGGAGAATAAATGCAGGGTATTTTCTACACTGTAATATTTCCAGAAATGTATGTATTTTATTTATTTATTTATAAAATATTTTACCAGGAAAGATACATTGAGATTTCTCTCGTTTTCAAGTATGTCCTGGGTCCACAAATCATTGCATTGTTACATTAGGGTACAATAAAATACAAAAACAATATTAATACACAATAAATACAAAATTTAACATAGAACAGGTAGGAAATATATAATCAACCATGACAGGTGCATTCTGTTTTGAGGTATGTAGAGAGGGATCTCTTAAAGGGCTTTAGGCTTAGGGAAGATTTTAAATTGTGCGGGAGGTCGTTCCACAATTGCGGTGCTCTGTAGGAGAAGGAGGATCGGGCCGCTTTCTTTTTGTATTGAGGTAGACTAAGTAAAGTGTTAGTACTGGATTGGAGCTTATAGGAAGTGGGAACAGCTGGGGAAAGCATTTTGTTCAGGTAGGGTGGGAGTTTCCCAGAAAAGCTCTTAAACACAAGGCTGGAAAGATGAATGGTGCGTCTGGATTCCAGCGATAGCCAGTTTAGTAATTTTAGCATGTCACAATGATGGGTCCTGTAATTACATTGTAGCACAAATCGGCAGAACGAGTTATACAATGTGTTGAGTTTATTAATGTGGGATTGCGATGCAGATGCATATACTACATCCCCATAATCAATGATTGGCATCAGCATTTGCTGTACAATCATTTCCTTTATTGTAGGGCTTAGGCAGGATTTGTTTCTGTACAGGGCACCTAGTTTTGGATAAAGTTTAGATGCAAGCTTTTCTATATGCAGGCCAAAAGATAGATTGGGGTCTAACATCATACCCAAGTATTTGAAAGAGTGGACTGCGGTCAGTGTGCCATTTGAATTTGTTTTGATGGATAGGTGGGAATTGTGTAATTTGTGTAATGTAGGTACTGTTCCAAAGATCATTGTGACAGTTTTGTCAGTGTTCAGGAAGAGTTTGTTTTTTGCAATCCACCTTTCTACCTCTGTAAACTGGTCTTGGAGCACAGCCTCAAGTTGTGGTAGATCGGATTTGCTCGCATAGATTACCGTGTCATCTGCGTACATATGTACATTTGAAGATTTGTAGACATTAGGCAGATCATTTATAAATAATGTAAATAGTAGGGGCCGAGAATGGAACCCTGGGGAACACCACATGTGACTGGGAGAGGGAGGGAGTCGCTGTCAGAAATGGACACATATTGTGAGCGATCTGATACATACGATCGAAACCAGGTTAGCGAACGATCATCCATACCTGAGTTTTTGAGTTTGTGCAGTATAATGTCGTGGTCTACTGTGTCAAAGGCCTTAGCAAAATCAAGGAAAATAGCTCCAGTTAGGGCTCCTTGTTCCATGCCAGTTTGGATGTCATTGCAAACTTTTAAGAGTGCAGTTGTAGTGGAGTGATTCTGGCGAAAGCCCGATTGATCAGGGGTCAGATAGTTAAATTGTTGGTAGTACTCACAAAGTTGCGTATGGACACATTTTTCTAAGATTTTTGACAATACTGGGAGCAATGATATTGGGCGATAGTTAGAAACCAAAGTAGTGTCACCACTTTTATGGATAGGCACTACTCTCGCAGTCTTCCAAAGTTTGGGTATATGTCCAGACACCAAGGATTCATTAATTAGAGTTGAGACGGGTTTAGCAGTTGCCGGCGCACTGAGCTTCAACAGCATTGCTGGAATTTGATCGGGTCTGGACTGGTTTTTCATTTTTAGGTTATTAAGATGTTTTTTAATGACACTAACAGGTACAGGTCTAAAAATAAACTTGTCTATATTGGGCCTTTGCAAATTTAGTAGGACCTGATCCACATTAGTAGTTTCAGGATGCGTATCATTTATTAGCTTGGCAATCAGAGCAGTAGAGCATCCGACAAAATAATTGTTAAAGGCATTTGCTACATCTAAGGGAAGTTGCAGGGTTTGGTTACCCACTTTGACAGTGGAGGGTTGGGAGTGGATTGGGGGAGTTTGTAGTTTTTTTATGACTTTCCAAAAGTTTCTAGGGTTTGAGATGTTATTGTTGAGATTTTCATAGAAATATTGGGCCTTGGCCAATTTTGTCTGTTTTGTGCGTATATTTCGCCATTGTCTATATGCACAGTGATCATTCATAGAGCCAGTACGCTTAAACTTCGACCACAAAGAATCCCGAAACTGGTACATTTGGATGAGGTCAGCTGTGATCCAGTTCATATGTGCTCCTTTTACCCTCACCTTACGCAGCGGGGCATGCAAATTCCAAATTTGTAGGAGTTCAGACTGAAAGAATTCGACAGCACAGTCTAGATCTGGGATAATGTTTAATCTGTGCCATGGGAGGTTCTTGATGTCATTTAGAAAGGATTCAAGATTACATTTTTTGAAGGACCTAGTTATTTTAACCTTGGGAGAGGATTTAATAGCCTTTATTTTGCGCACGCAGTACACTAAACAGTGATCACTGAAAATGTTTGGGAGAACACCGGCCTCCTGGATTCTATCAGGAGAAGTGGAGAGAATCCAATTGAGCAGGATATGGTTATGGCTTTTAATTGTTTACGCGAGTTGGGGAGGAGATTAATTGCGTTAGCTGCAACATCTTAAACAGCGTGCAAGAACTATTATTTTTAGGATTCAGCCAATCAATATTAAAATCTCCAAAGACCAACAGTTCACTTTTTTGGGTTTTGAGCTATGGTTTCACTAAGGAGATGGGCTATGTCAGAAAGGGAATGCACAGGGGAGCTAGGTGGGTGGTAGATTCCTGCAACAATGATTGATTTACTGCATGGGATCTCAATTGTGCCAAGCAATTGTGCAAAGTTATTATGGTGCGCGAGTGGCCATTTAAGGCAAAAATATAGTTATTATTACTAATAGCAGGCAGGGATTCGGCATACGGTGCAGCTAGAAATTTTAACTAGTGGTAAACGCAGAAATAAAGAACGCACAGTAAATCAATGAAAGTGCATTAAATTGTTTTTTAGCACGCCAACAGTCGCACCCTCGCTGATTCTTGTTACACTGATTCTTTTTTGTTTGCTATATTTCTGTATATGGAATAGAATTCGTTCATGTTTGACAAAGATCCAATACAATTTGCAACTTTTCTGACTTGAGCAGTGGAGGTTTTATTGCATTAATTACTGGGTATTGGGAGAAGTCCTACTTTCACTGCATTGCTAGCCCACACACCATGTACTTGTACAATAAGGTTACTTGCCAAAAAAATGCATAGCTTATAAAACCACAATTTAGCCACCTGTCAATACCCACTGTCTTAAAGAGGAACTGACACTTTTTTAAAACTTAAATTAAACATTTAGCATCTTCCATCATAATCCAGTTCAGACATGGCAAACATTGCAAATAAAGAGGAGGAATGTGAACATTGAGAAATGTCAGTTTCCCCTTAAGGACCAATAACGTTCTTATCCTTGATACAACATGAAGCATGCCCAGCTCACTTAGTGTCAGCATGTCTAGACAGAGTATGAAGAACCAGAATGTTCAGTGCAGGCAGCATACAATGTCTTTTGTCCTTAGGGGGTTTAAACAATGACCGTGGTAAAGACAGTTATGTTATACCAGCCATGTTAAAGGACCACTATAGGCACCCAGACCACTTCAGCTCAATGAAGTGGTCTGGGTGCCAGGTCCCTCTGGTTTTAACCCTGCAGCTAAAAACACTGCAGGGTTTCACTGAGGGTTAATCCAGCCTCTAGTGGCTATCTCACTGACAGCAGCTAGAGGCGCTTCCGCGATTCTCACTGTAATAGGAGTAATGCTTTCCTATGGGCAGTTTGAATGTGCGCGTGGCCCTTGCCGCTCATGCGCATTCGTAGTGGACATCGGCAGGGGGAGGAGAGGTCACCAGCGCCAAGGGAGAAAGGTAAGTGGCTGAAGGGGGGGGGGGGACACCTACTGACCCTAGAGTTTGTTTTCCTGGCACTATAGTGGTCCTTTAAGTCAGAAAATCACTTTCAAGGGTTATTGACATCAGCCCTCATATGGCTGCTTTGCTTCTTCACATAACTTACACCATTCGTTCTCTCTGGATCTGACTGATGTTACATAATCTCGTGTTCCATTCAAACATCATGTCACACAGGAACATTTTATACCTTTCAAATACAGAGATGCCAAATTTTGCTGAATGTGACTGATGTTGTTTTTGCTAATTTTGTAGGCAAGTTACAAGAATTTACCTTAAATGCGTATTTTACATGATTAAATTCAATCTTACATTATAGTACTAAAAATATTTAAAATATCAATGTGGGCTGCATTTGTCATATCTGATCTCTAGCAAAGTAGATGGCCAATTAGTGATTTATCAGGGTTGTTTTAATGCATCTAGTTCCCAGAAGATGAAACCTTATTATTGATAGATGTTTCCGACCTGTTATACCTTTTGATAGATTGGTACTCCACTTTAGATATGCTGAAAGAAAGCTGCCGAATTGCCAGCAGTACCAATTGGTCCGACGTGGACTTATCACAGTTTCAAGGTATGTGTCCTTTTTCTTCTTTAAACAAGTGTCATTGTTTTATTTCTTGGTTGAATCACTGCAGCATTCGTTGGCTTATTTTAATGAATTATCTAGACTGTACATCTCAAAAGAACATTCTCAGAATGAGTGGAGAATGCCTGTACAAATCCATTAAACGGTTGCTACAACCACAACGACCACTTCTGCTTTTTGAAATGGTCATGGTGGTTGGAGTCTGTTTCTCAGCTGCATGTACTGGAAAAAAAAACAAAACCTGGGCAGCACTTCTGTTTATGAAAAAAGTAAAAGTGACAGGTCAACTTTAAATGCCAGCCATGTGGATGATTGTTGTTGGAATAACCAATCCACAAAGACCTAATACACTTTAGGATAATGTTGTTTCATCATAGGCTGCCTGTCTTATTTGTCCTTAAACAGATTGGAGATCCCTTTTCTTTGCTTAACCTTCTATTGTGAATACCTTTAAGAAAACACGTGATAACCATTTGTAATGTGAACCTGTGCAAACTTCATAGCCTGGCACCTTTTGGAGCCGTAGTATTTTCCCAGCAAACAAACTATTCTTTTTTTTCTTCACTTAAAATTTGGCAGGAGTGAGCCAGACTTGGAAAGATTTCCTGGAAGCATGGATTTGCGCAGGGGTTGCATGTCAATATGTACATTTATGGGACTTGCTCTCCTTTTCCAATGCTTTTCTGTTCTTTTTAAATGAACTAGATCATTTGCTCGGTTTGCGTACAATAAGATATACAGTGCAATTATTTTCTTAGTATTACTCATTGCGGTTTTAAGGTGCAGCTGTCATACAATGTGACACTGTCACTTTATAGAGCAAAAACTATGCATTGCGCTAGCCAGATTGCTTGGCAGTTTGTAGATTTAAGCTATTTTTACTTAAAATATTTTAGCTTATTTTCTGCTCTGTCTGCATAGAGGTAAAAACTGCAAATATGACCAATGTATGGCAGACACATGGGGCACTGCCAAGCCTGATATCCCATAATTTCTAGTACCTAGAACCAATCATTGAGTTCTCATGCTCTGATTTATGGGAGGTCAACAAGCTACAGCAATTATATTCATCATAAAATAAAGCAAAAGTAAGTTATACATTGTAGTACCTGCATATGCCAAGCAAAACCGGTTAATGCTCATGATGCCGAATAATTGTTTATTGTGTTGATCCTGCTGTCTAGTCTTGTGATCGAATTCTAAGTAGACTACTGCTGCTGGTTTGAATTTTTTTTAGTTTTTTTTTTTTTTAGTTTGTTATAAACTTTTACTTGTGTAATGCTGCCATGTACACAGAATGCAAAATAATTATTCTTCTGGATTTTCATACGCGATACTGTATGCTATGTTATATATACAATTATCGAATCACAGTTTACTGTTTGTTCTACAATTCACAATGTGAGAAATATGGCATTTGTCAGACGTAGTGAGTCATTATAGTGATAAAGATAAACAAACAAAATATGATCACAGCAAAACAAAATCCGCTGTGGATGAATGATTGACATTTGCAGTAATCAGGAATATATGAGCCAGATTTTAAAGACAACCAAATTATACGCATAGAAGTAGCGCAAACAAAGGTAGAAATAAGCAACGAGCAAAAACAGACAACAAAAAAAATCTCTTGAGGTTTCCTAAAACTTACATTCAACCCTCATACAGATCGTTTAGACATCTTAAAGATGGCCAATGAGCACTGGTCTCATATTTTGTAGACCTTGTATCAGATGCTGATACTGAAACCTGCACTGTTGGGGATACCTTGAGAATTGATGTGTGTCACACTGATTTAGCCAAATTAGTTTACAACTCTAAGACCATTTTGAAACTAATTAGATAAACATTTAAACCTCCGTTTCTCCCCGATGTCTTTGGAAGTTAATCCATGAAGCCAGATATGATTGGCAAATTCACAGGCACCATGGGTACTGCTGAGTGTAATTGGCTCAGATAAAAATAATAAATGCACACAGATATGCTTCTTCCAAGAATTGCCATGTCTCAAAGCTACAGGGTGGTGCATCAAATGTCTTCACCAGCCATCCGAAGTTCTGTTCGTCTCCATCTTGCCATTGGATATTTCTGTAAAAGCTGACTTGTGGTGACAGGACAGACTGTTTTAAGGAGCAAAGGTCAAACTCAGGATTTAAAGAAAGTATCTTACCTTTTGGGAGCAACATTTTATGCTCCCCCAAATTCAATTTTTTTTTAAATTTTATTATTTTTTTTCCCCCCCTCAATCCTTGTTTCCCCATTATAGGTTTAATGGAAAGCATGAGACAAGCAGATCTTAAGAATTGGTCACTCGATCAAGTTCAGTTTGCCGACTTGTGCTCTTCGCTCAATAAATTCTTCACACAGACTGGCCTCATCCATTCACAGAGCAATGTTCAGTCTCCAGTTTGCCATGGTAACATGCACACGGCAAAACCCACACAGCACCTCGGATCAGGCAAGTTCTCTATTTTAACAACTTCCTATGGAAACAGGGGTGTCCAAATTATTGTTGGACTAGAGTACCTTTTATTCTCCCAGTATTAGAGCAGCTGGTGGGTTGTGCTTAGACATCTCTGTTCTGTAAGCAGAGAATGTATGATTCCAATAAATTAGTGCCTCCCCGCAGATCTATAGTAATCGATTATGGTGTGGTAAAAACGTTAACATGTTGCAGATTTTGCAAAATCGTTCAATGTCCAAAAGAAATTACCCCATGATGCTGACACAGTTCCCTTCCCTCATAAAGCTTACATTTGTCATACAAAGTTTTATGTACTGTTAAGGATCCCAAAATGCTTAATACAAGATAATTTTAACACATTATCACTTTGAGAACCTTCCACTTAGCATATTGCCATTATTGGTTCACAGAAGTATGGTGTTTCATTCTGTTGGCCCTTTGCTAACCACATGTACAATGACCATGCATATTACGATGTATAACAATTTGGCTTTTTATCCCCTCATCTCTGATATTTGTGGGTACTTGACTGCACTCATCCTATAATGCTTAAAGGGATACAATAGTCACCTAAACAAATTTAGTTTAATGAAGCAGTTTTGGTGTATAGATCATGCCCCTGAAGTCTCACTGCTCAATTCTCTGCCATATAGGTGTTACATCACTTTTGTTTCTGTTCATACAGCCCTAACCACCGCTCCCTGGCTGTGACTGACATAGCCTGCATGGAAAAAAATGACTTCTGTTTCAATCAGATGTTAACTTGCTTTAGATATTTTTATCTCCTGCTCTGTAAATTGAACTTTAATCACTAACAGGATGGTCCTGCAGGGTCTAGCAAGCTATTAACAGAGCAAGAGATAAGACATTCTAAATTAAACAGAATTAGTGTAAATATTAGATTAATCTTTACGGGAAGTGTTTAGGAAGGCTGTAGATAACATGCAGAGAGGAGTGACTAGGGTGCATAAACAAAGTGATTTAACTCCTAAATGGCAGATAATTGAGCAGTGCGACTGAATGGGCATGATCTCTACACCATAACTGCTTCAATAAGTTAAAGTTGTTTTGGTGACTATAGTGTCCCTTTAATCCCCTAAAACCCCTTGGCCAATCACAGGAACTTACTAATACTCCAGAATATGTCAAAAAAGACAAAAGGGTAGAATCAGAAAGAAAAATTATCAGCACCTAGATTTTTTTTGTGCATGCAAAGGGTAGCATATTGATAGGCCAGGTGGACCAGCATCTTGTAAATTCACAGGGGGGCGGGGGGGTTCTCAAAGTGTTCTGAAAAGTGGCTTTTAAATGCCATCATTATTTTGATCGTTTTTATTAAGGTGGTCTAAAAAGTGACACTTTTCTTCATAGTAAATTCTTCCTGTTTTTGTTGTAATTTCCATTTCAGAAGATCACCAAATATCTTGTGGAATAAATATTGCACCCATTTTCTTGACTGCAAATATTCCTAAATCAATTTCGTCAGTGAAGAATTTACACTTATTCAAAAATTATGGTTAGGGTGCAAAAAAAACAGATGGGGGAAAAAAAAAATCTGACATTTAATAAATTGCTCCAAATATTTCCCTAAAGTTAGATGGAAATGTTTCAGTTTCACGTAAATAAATGTGACTCATTGTTTCCGGACAAAGCTCTAACTTGTAAATGGTTTGGTTTCTTGTACTTAAATTTGTAAAGTCACCTCTGGTATTTCTTGTCGTACAGGAAATGTTTACCTTGATTCTCGGCAAAATTTACCGCCATCAATGATGGGACCTCCAAGTTACCCCCTCATACCACCACCAATGAGCACTACAGGATCCGCCATGACAGGTACATATAGAATACACTGCCTGCTTGGGCTGGTATTTTGAGGTCACAAAATTATATTCTGTTTCTACTGTATAATGGCTGTTCTCAATTCCCTTTTATTTTATTTTATTTAGTTTAAAAATGCATTTGTTTGAATGCTACATCTGTATAATGCAATAAGACTCTGCTCTACCTACCACCACCACCACGTATGATTTCTACCTAATCATTTTGACCTCGCCGTTTTAGTTGAGTTTAGTCTTTTCTGTCTTGAACCTGGTAAATTAGTTTTCCTACCAGAATCCCCTTTTTCCATTGTCGTGCCAAAAAAGCCTTTTATACCGATGTGAAAACAAACTTAAAAGAATATATATATTTTTTTTAATCCAGCACAAATTACACAGTCATGGAAAAAAAGTATGTACACCCTCTTTAGGTTTATGGATTTACATATCAGGACATAACAATTGTCTGTTCCTTAACAGATCTTAAAAATGGTTAAATACAATCTCAAATAAATAACAATAGGTAACATTCCACTCATTCATGATTTATTTAACAAACATACAACCAAAATGGAAAAACCATGTGTGAAAAAATAAGTACACTACATGATACAATAGCTTGTAGGGATTTGAATCAAACTGTTTGATTATTTGTCTACCTACTCCTTTCTAAATTGATTGTGCGCATGTCTTCTAGAAGTTAATCACACCGGACACATTGCAGGTTTATGAAGGACTTCAGACAGGCCTACATTCCAGGGGGTGCGATTCCCTTTTAAAGCAGAAATACGTCATGTACAGAGTCACAGTTAACATAAAGTATACATTCATCAATTGGTTAACAGTCTAAGGGGTCTTGTCTAAACCCTCCCTACTGGGCGTGACCCCAGCATCATCACATGACATTTCTTTGTATCCCAGCCCCATTCCTGCTCCATTTTACTACACGTGGCATGTTTCTATAGAGCTTTTAGTTGCACAAAGGAAGTGGGGGAGGAGTTAGTAAAGGAAGCTGTTCCTTTAACACAGGAATTTGTTACACGAGGCTTGCTCGATGGGAAGGGGGGAGGGTAGCAGGATGGGAGGAGCACACAGAGGGGGGTAAGGGAAGCTTTTACTCTAGCAGCCAGTCTTACACAGTGAACACAGATACACAGAATAAATAGACATTAGTAAATAGACATTTTATCCATTCAAGTATTTTGTCCATAACAGTAGGACCACCTTTAGCAGCAACAACTTGAAGTATCAATCTCTCCCATCGTTGTGGAAGAAGTTTGGCCCACTCTTCTTTACAAAGTTGCTTAAGTTCATTGAGGTTTGCTGGCATTTGTTTATGCACAGCTCTCTTGGGTCCAGCCACAGCATTTCAATCAGGTACTAGACCATTGCATTGATTCCTTTCTTTTTCAGCCATTCTGTTGTAGATATGCTGGTGTGTTTGGGATCATTGTCATTGTTGCATGACCCAATTTTGGCCAGGTTTTCGCTGTCGGACATTTGACTCTAGAATACTTTGGTATAAAGAGGCATTCATGGTCGATTCAATGACCTAAAGATTCCCGAGTTCTGTGTCTGCAAAACAGTCCCAAATCATCACTCCTCCACCATCGTGCTTATCAGTTTGTATGAGGTGTTTGTGCTGATAGGCTGTATTTGTTTTTTGCCAAAAGTGGCACTGGGCATTGGCACCAAAAAATCTCAGTTTTAGTTTTGTCTGTTTGGCATTGTTCTAGAAGTCTTGTGGTTTAAGGTGCAACTTTGCAAACCTAAGCTGTGCTGCCATGTTCTTTTTAGAAAGAAGAGGCTTTCTCCTGGCAACACTTCCAAACAAACCATGCTTGTTCAGTTGTTTTCTGATTGTACCGACATGTACTTTAGCATTTAATATTCTAACTGAGGACTGTAGAGTCTGAGATTTAACTTTTGTTTTGTTTTTTGCCATTTCTCTGAGCATTGCACGGTCTGATCTTGGGGTGAATTTGCTGAGACCACTCCTGGGAAGATTGGCAACTGTCTTCAATGTTTTCCATTTCTGAATAATCTTAATCATTGTAGAATGATGGACTTTTAATTGTTTGGAAATGGCCTTGTAATCCTTACCAGTTTGATGGGGATCAGCAATTGAGATAATTGCTGATGTCTTTCCTCCTCGTCATTGTGTTAACACACACCTGCTCCAGACCAGCAAACTGTTAAATCTTCAGATTTTGTAGAGGTGGTCACTTTTGCTGATGATCAATCAATCAAGGGCATTTGATTAGCAACACTTGTCTGGAAGCAGCAAGGGTGTACTTTTTCACACGTCTTCTCCATTTTGGCTTTATTTTTGCTAAATCACGACGTTGTCAGGTCATGTATTGTTGTTCATTTGAGGTTGTTTTTATCTAATTTTAAAGACCTTCTAAGGAACAGATGATTGTTATTATGTCCAGATTTGTGATACCATAAAATTCAAAGAGGGTGTACATATTTTTTCCCATGGCTGTATACTTTGTGCTTTATTAAAAAAACATTCTTTTCAATTTGTTTTCTCATTGCTATTAATGGCTTTCTTTGTACGGCAATGAAATAAGGGGATTCTAGTAGGAAAAAACATTTTCCTGGTTAACTATCAAGATTGGGAGACCTAATAATGGTTTCAAGGACCTTTCCGTGCTTAACCTTTAGGTCACAGAGCGGATCCTCCCTTTTGGGTGCGGTTGGGCTTCTGGGTACTCACTATGCCCTTCCTGCACTGCAATGGGAAATAAAATGAAAAATGTAATGACACACTTGCACTTCTCTTTCATGTAGGTTGGTAAATAATGTTTTGCATGTGTGGTGAGGCTGCTTATGGGATCGTGTGTGTGTGTGTGTGTGTGTGTAGAGGAGGCTGTTTGTGGTATAGTTTGTTTAAAAGGATCTGTTTGTGGTGTATTATGTCTCAATGGGGGCTGTAGCATGTGTATGTGGACATGAGTGCCTTGGGGTGTCTTTTAGTGTGTGTATGTTTATAGGGACTGTAGTGCTTGTGTACATTTGCATAAGGGGGTGTGGTGTGTGTGTCTGTGTATAGAGGGTGTTCTGTGTTTATGGGGGTATATTTGTGTATGTGTCATTTAATATTTGATCAAATAAACAAAATCATACCTCCCCTCAATGTTGTTACTTTCTGATCCCTGGCAGCCCAGTTTGCTGGGTAATACCAGGGGCTCCAGCACTTAAGTGCCAATGTTGCCATGGTAACCAGTGGCAGCCCATTGATTGGCCAGAGTTTAGTATACAGCTATTCATGTTCTGCCTCTTGTGGAGGTGCACACACTTGGCATTAGAGTGGGATAGACAGCATGGCCCCACACCCAGCGGCACACTAAGCACCATCAGTCCGTGACATTGTGTGTGGCAAGTCAGTCGAACCTCTGGGTGTGGGCTGTGTTGCCCACTGTGTGCCCCTGTTACCATGGCGCCCTCTGCAACTGTACAGCGCACCCACCGCAAATGCTGGTCCATTATACACATGCTGCTTAAAGTGGTTTCCATGATCATGTGCCTTTAAAACATTGTCCATTCCTCAATGTTTTATATTCTTTCATTGTATGCACTTATTTTTCCATTCTTTAACAAATCTAATTTTGTGTTTTTTTGTTTTTGTTTTTTTTTTATAAATAGAAGCAAGCTATTTATTTCCTTCTTGCAAAGAGGAGTATCATACAAACTGCAACCACCCTGACGTCATGCTTTGTAATTTAACAGGACACCACGGAGTCATGAACCAGCAGCACATGATGCAGTCCCCCAACTTCCACATGCGCCGTCCGCTTCCTGCAGATGACATTCAAGATGACTTTGATTGGGACTCTATTGTATAGCACTATTAAAAAAAGTGATATTGTCTTGTTAACCCCTCGTGTTCTTGGTATACGTGACCATGAATGTGATCCGAAAAGGTAAAGAAAGTATCCAAATAACAAAGCACTGCTCTCCTTGTTGACTTTGATGACAATCAGAATATACTTAGCAGGATAAATTAAACGAATGCTTTGAGTTGACGTGTACAACTTGTCCGTACCCTTGGTAAGCTGCAGTCGCTCACTATCGTTATGTGATTTAGACAGCTTGTTCAGCTTTGTGTTAACTAATGTTGACCACAAGTGCAACACTGAAATCTGGATAAAATCTCTCCCCAAGCACAACTTTTAGACTATCGATTTGCATTTCAATCCTTCCTCCGTACTGCAAAGTGGAAAACAAGCATTTCTGGGACCCTCTGTCCCCCTGTATGTTTCCCAGTTTATTTATATGGTCTGTTAATATTGTACTTTGTATTATTTTGTGAAGGACAACTGTTCGTTATATTTACACTGCCATTTAACCGTGCAAGCCAAGCTAAGAGGCGCGCTTCATTTTTGTGCCATAAGAGCCAATAACACAATTTTGATCTAGGTCAGGTTGCAGATTGGCTGTAGGTATCTTGGGTATTCATGCAGTCAAGGGTTTGACATTTATGAAGGCTAATGTAACAATATAGCACGTTACATATAGTGTAATATTTTGCAACGACCTTTGACGTTGATTGTAAAAAAATAAATAAAAAATATTTGTGCTAGTCCAAAAAAAAAATAATAATTTTTTTTCTATGTTTCATTTTGTGCCTGCTAGTGATTTCCAATTTTTTAAAACCGATACCCATCGGCGGTCTTTTCATACCAAGAATCTCACTGCAAATACACATGCCCTCTAGAAAAGCCACGTGTTTACAATGTTAAAGGATTTGATTTGGAATTTTAGAAAAGTCTCATCTTGTATACTGTGGAATTCTGTACGGTCTTGCCCAATGTTGCCCTGGCTTATTGTTGATCCAAAAAGGAATACAGATACCCTAAAAAAAAACAAAAAAAAAAAAAAAAGACAGATGTACTTTGTAGTCATCGGAGGTGTTGAGTAATTTTTAAGAACAATATGATGTCTTGTTGTGGTCTAGAAGTCTCTAATAAGGTTTACAGTTCTGTATAATCCCTTTGTGGCTTTAGTTTCACCGATCGGAATTGCAAAGCCTAGTCTGCATGTATATCTCTAGGTGACCTGAAGCCAACTCTTAACCTCATGGTGTTTTGACTTAATAGGAAGTAACCATGGCACTACCAGACAGTTTTATATACAGGAAATTTGCTTTGAAACCTGATCACAAAATGCCTCTGAGGTTTTTCGACTCTGTGCAAAATAATTCTATATGTTTACATTTTTCTAGATCTTTGAATGGTTTCTTCAGTCGTTGTATATCGTGAAAAAAAGATGCTGTTCTTTTAATTTTTTTCCTCCCATCCTTATATAACTTATTTAGGCCTCTTAGAACTTAAGAATGATGTCCAGTGCATTTAAAAGGCAATTATGTCACAGAATCGATTCATGGTACTATAATTGCATCCACTAGCACACTTTCTTCTTAGTTGTGTTGTGGATTTTTTCTTTACACCTTTTATTCAAAGTTTATTCTGATGCAGGGTATAGTTACATTTAATAAGTGCAGTGTGCAAGATCGTTTTGTTTTACTTTGTTGAATTATTTTAAAACTGCTGCCTATTTTATCTCAATTTGGTTTGCTATCTAATTTAGATTTTTTTATTAAATATTTTTGCATGGTTTTTATTTTCTGTTAAAACGGCGTTACTAGTTTGTTAAAGGGACACTATAGTCACCTGAACAACTTTAGCTTAATGAAGCAGTTTTGGTGTATAGAACATGCCCCTGCAGCCTCACTGTTCAATCCTCTGCCATTTAGGAGTTAAATCCCTTTGTTTATGAACCCTAGTCACACCTCCCTGCATGTGACTTGCACAGCCTTCCATAAACACTTCCTGTAAAGAGAGCCCTATTTAAGCTTTCTTTATTGCAAGTTCTGTTTAATTAAGATTTTCTTATCCCCTGCTATGTTAATAGCTTGCTAGACCCTGCAAGAGCCTCTTGTATGCCCCTGCAGCCTCACTGTTCAATCCTCTGCCATTTAGGAGTTAAATCCCTTTGTTTATGAACCCTAGTCACACCTCCCTGCATGTGACTTGCACAGCCTTCCATAAACACTTCCTGTAAAGAGAGCCCTATTTAAGCTTTCTTTATTGCAAGTTCTGTTTAATTAAGATTTTCTTATCCCCTGCTATGTTAATAGCTTGCTAGACCCTGCAAGAGCCTCCTGTATGTGATTAAAGTTCAATTTAGAGATTGAAATACAATTATTTACTGTAAATTACATCTGTTTGAAAGTGAAACCAGTTATTTTTTCCATGCAGGCTCTGTCAATCATAGCCAGGGGAGGTGTGGCTAGGGCTGCATAAACAGAAACAAAGGGATTTAACTCCTAAATGACAGTGAATTGAGCAGTGAAATTGCAGGGGAATGATCTATACACTAAAACTGCTTTATTTAGCTAAAGTAATTTAGGTGACTATAGTGTCCCTTTAATTATGGACGTAAAGCATATAAATAGATTTAAAGAATAAGGTTGTAGAATTGCTTACAAGCATACCACAGGGATTCTTTATGTTCCCTATATAGGAATGCCATTTTGTACAAACAAGAGAAACTATTAAAAGGGATAAGAAAAAATCTTGAAAATAAAGAAGATATAATATATCTACCTTGGGTAAAGTGTAAGCTTGTGAAGTCTTGCACTAAATAAATAGCTAGAGACTTTATTGTAAGGGCTTCCTATGGAATATTTCTGTGTGTGTTTACATAAATTGCAGTTCGAAAAAAAGTGGTTAAAAACTGCCCACTAAGTTAAGTCTGAAACATAAATACATTTAACTTCTATGTAAAGTTTTATTGGCTCAACTGAATTGTAGTGTTTTGTAATTCAATTCCAAAATTTGGGCCAGAACAAAAGAAATTTAAAATTTCTGCAACGCTGCTACAGTCAAATCGTGGCTATTTTGGCCTGAATATTGCAATTCAGTTTCACCACAATTCTTTGTTTAATGAATAAACCCTTAGGGTATATATTAGGGGGGGGGTGGAGAATCTTTCCCTATAAGTAGTGGCTCTGAAAAATTGTTTATTTGTAATCAAATAGCTATAAACAGCTATTTTGGGGTTATTTAGATATTAAACTACGTTTTAGCTCAAAATCTATTTAAATAGATTGTTATACATAAGGGAATGTGTTTAAGAAAATTAATAAATGCAAATGCTGTTTGAGGTCATTTCCAGATTTTGTAAGGCAGTTTGGGAGTGTGGAAAAACATTTTTTTTTTTTTTTTTCAGTTAAGTTGTTCTTGTATATTTTTTAAAAAAAAAATTTTTCAAAAAAGTGTGTATTATGTATATAGAATGTTCGAATATATATAATGCATACACAAATGTTTGTAAGTGGAATTTAAATGCTTCACCAAATAATAAATGCCCGTTTGATTGGAAGTACCTGTGGGTGATACCTGTCCCACATTTAGTGTCTGTAAGGCAGAGTGGTTCTTAAACAGTTGGTCTGGACCCCAAAAAGTGATCCCCCATGTCATTTAAGTGGATCCACTCTGATAGTAGTATAGTGGAGATTGGCCCGGCACTGGGAAGAAGCTACGATGTTATGCAAAGTGTAATTATTGTTAATTACATGAAGAATGCAAATTGTCCTAGTGTAGAATGGTTGCTAAGCTCATACCCCATCTACAATTTGGGTCCCATGCCAACATGGTTTAGAACCCCTGCTTTAATGCAAAAAAAAAAAAAAAAATGTTTATATACTATACACATACACTATATGGGCAAAGGTATTGGACATCTGACCATTACACGGACAGGAAATGTTATGACTTTGCATTCTAAATACATAGACCTTAATATGTAGTTGGTCCCCTCTTTTTTCATATATAATAGCTTCCACTCTTCTGGAAAGGCCTTCCACAAGATTCAACCAAGTCTTTATGGACCTTGCTTTGTGCACTAGGGCGCAGTCATGCTGGAATAGAAAATTGCCTTCCCCAAACTGTTCCCACAAAGTTGGACGCATAGTATTGTCCAAAATGTCTTGGTATGATGAAGCTGGAAGTAAGGGGCCTAGCCCAACCCCTGAATAACAGCCCCATAACATTATCCATGCCTTTATTAAACTTTACAGTTGGCACAATGCAGTCAGGCAGGAAACTTCTCCTAGCATCCGCCAAACCCAGGCTCAACCGTCAGACTGCCAAACACTCCACAGAACATGTTTCTATTGCTCCAGAGTCCAGTGGCGGAGTGCTTTACACCAATCAATCCGACGCTTGGCATTGTACTTTGTGATGTGAGGCTTGCATGCAGCTGCTCGGCCAATGCACAGTTTCTGTGCTGATATTAATTTCAATAAAAGTTTGAAACTAGTCCACTATGGAATCAACAGAGCGTTGGCTACTTTTACACACCATGCGCCTCAGGACTCGGTGAACCTGCTCTGTGACTTTATTGGTCTTCCTTTTCATGGCCGAGTTGCTGCTGTTCCTAAGCGCTTCTACTTTCCAATAACGCCACTTACAGTTGGGAAATCTAGCAGGGATGACATTTCTTGTACTGACATATTGCCTAGGTGGCATCCTATCACAGTACCACACTTGAACTAACTGAGCTCTTCAGAACGACCCATTTTTATTTATTTTTTACAATTGTTTGTAAATGCAGACTACATGGCTTGGTGCTTGATTTCATACACCTGTGGCAATGGGTCTGATTGAAACACCTGAACTCAATAATTTAGAGGTTTGTGTCCCAATAAATTTGTCCATATATTGTGTTTCTGTATATGTATGTGTGAGTGTATATATAATAAAATTTATGCACTGTCACTCTAATTTTAACCCCAAATGCCTTGGTGCATCCAATGCTGTATGAATCAAACTATGTATGT